TGAATAAGTGCCCTGAATATGAACGCAGGCACAGTTGCACCACAGTTTTGAGTACAAGACGAACTTGAATGCCATCCTTATGTCACAGTTATCAGTTAAATTCCATAAATAGTGCCATATGCATGTATGTGCAAAATAATATTGGGAGTTGTTTTGTTTTTTCAAAATCTCATTTTTCAACATCACATTTAACTTAATGCAACTTTTAACTTTTACCATCTAACAGCTATGAACGCATGTTAATAGTCTCACTGTAGTTTTTAGTGAGCTGTTCGAGTCACAGTGGATATTCTGCAGCAATGTTATTGGCAGCTTTGGCAAACAGACTTTAACTTCTGTCAGATAGCAGTCGTTCTAGCTAGTGGTAAGTAAGAGCAGAAGGTAGGTTTCTTACACAGAAAGATATAACTCTCTTGATACAACAGTCCTACTTATAAATCTCATTTTATCTTGTACTAGAAACTTCCCAAGAGAAAGAATTTTTTAATGTTTGATACGTGGAATTTTTTTTTTTGAACTGAGCTAGCTTTACTCTGTTAAGCAGAAGTAAAATCACATTTCTTCCTTGGTACTTTCATTTCCCATGTTTGGATTATGACAGCAGACAAAGGTTTGACTTGAAATGCAGAGCATAAATGTATAAGGTGTCACAGGTCACAGACTTGTGACCCACAGTTTATGGATTTGAATTTACATAGCTCTTTGTGTTTGAAGAGCTGCTTTTTCTACCAGATCCTTACAGAGGAAATGTGAAAGAAAGTCTCTGCTCCCAAGATCTGATAATGTGATCTGTGGTATCATTCTTTCTATTAAAGAAGCAGATGATGGCGTGGTTGAGGGAGGCTCAAGTTTACATTAATGCCATCGTGAAATTACTTAGCCTTGTCAGACAGAATTAGTTTTGTGTCCTTCTGAAGGTGAGCAGAGAGTGTGTGTAATGTACTGCTTATTTGGAAATGACAGAGAAGTGAGTTTCTCCTAGTCCAGCATCTGTTGATGAGCTGACTCCTGTTGGCCTCCCTGAAGTAGGTTTTGGATCAAGCCCTGAAAGGGGGCAAGGATGGTGGATTGCTTGTTTGAAACCTTAGCTGTGAATGCAAGTGCATTTTCTTTGCTCTTTCTCCTCCTGAAAGAAAGACAATTTAATGCTAGAATGCAAATGAGACTACAAGGCGGTTAATTGCATGTGGTGTTGTCCAAGCACCTGCTTTTGAAATCATAAATCTGACTAGTACTTGATTGTGGGACCTGAAACTTTTACAAAACTTTGACCTGTGCCTGAAGTATATGGGTACCTCTCAGGAGACTTTTTGTCACAGAAGTCAAATCAGTTTAAAAACTTTATCCAGTTGTCTCTGCTGAGCTGATGGACAGAACAACTCCTTGCCGCTCCGCTGCCCAGAAACCTAAGGATGGGAATTGTTGCTGCATAAATAATGGGCTTTGGTTTGGGTAGATCTTGTTTTGCTTAAGTATTTGTTGTTTCATCCCCTCTCTCCCAGCCTTGCATATGCAGTATGACCCCCTAGATTTTACGGTTTTCAGATACACTGCTGCTAAAAATAGGCAAACAGCAGTGCTTTCCTGAAGCAAGAGCGTATGGTTGTATTTGAAGGTGCTTTAGTATCAGTTGCTTTTGTCTACGTGGGGTATTGCGTAGCCAAGCGGATTGGCCTGGCTAGGTTAGGTGCAACACAATGCTCTTGCCTCTCTGATTACAAGCTCTGTCACTAAACCCCATGGTTCATCAGCAGTGAGGGATTCTCTGGGGAAGCAGGTTGTGTATGAGTTAGAATTGAACAGGCCAAAATTGAGATGGAGAATTTTTGGATGTACCAACTTGAGTATCATAAGAGGAATGTAAGTAGATCGCCAAAGAGGAGGAATGGGGTTACTGGTATTTTTTATTACTGCTGCCTTTTAGGAAACACTTTGTAATCCCATTAACAGACTTTTCCAGGGTAGTAACAGCGTACTTCACGTTCATTTATTGGTTTTGCCTTGACAGAGTTTTTGTTAGATTTCCACAGCTGTTTTGTTAACGGACGGTGAAGGAGTACTGTACCTTTATTTTAGGCTTCAGTTTGCAGTGTTTTGAGTAGCTATGCAACTTGTCTATGCACTATGAGTAAACAAAATATTTCTTGCTGTTAATATAAAAGCTATTCTCAGGTTTACTACATCCGTTGCTTGTAAGGTTTATATTGTACCTCTTAGCTTGCATTTTGATGGGGAAGAAAACTGAGTGTTTATCCTTGGAAGACTGAACTTTTCATGATGAACGTTTTTGGGGACAGCTGTCATTTCATGTCATGTAGCAAACTGTGTAGCCTGTATGATGTTTGGTTTTGGTATTTTTGATTGGGGCAGAATATTTTTTCACGAAAATTTTCAGATGATGTTCGGACACCATGTAGAAAGCTGCTGTGTGACCATTTAGGTGGTTGCTTCACGCTGGTACTTTGTAAATGAAACTAGCTTAGTAAAGACATTTGTAAAGCTACTACAGAAACTGTTAATACATTTTAAACCAGCATAATGTATAAATGTCACCTATTAACTAATTTAAGTGAGAACATTTTTGTTATTAATAATTATTGTTTCTTATTATTATTCCAATGTGTGAGGACAAGAGCTTTCAGGCATTCTAAAGAACTTGTATTGTGGAAACACTGGGTACTGAAAGGACACATGCTTTACTTTGCTTCGTATACTATTTAGAGCTCGGTCTTGCAATATGCTGATACCATAGGTGGATAGTATTGTGCACGTTTATATTTAAACCTATCATGTTTGTGTTATGTAACTAGGGGGAATGAGAGCACTATGAGGATGCTTCCCTAAGGGAATAGGAATTGCTGTTTGTGCAGCAAAACACAGTCACTGTGGAGCTGTAACTCTCAGGCAGTTAGGCAGCAATTTAGGGACCCTGTAGCTCACAAAGCTCCTGGGAGGGTGCCAGGGCTCTCACAAGCAGTCCTTCGGTTTGACAACGCAAACAGGCCCATCAAGTAGCCGTCTCCTTTTTGCCTTGCAGTTGTGATTCAAAACATAGGTTAATGCAAGGACAGCTGTTGTAACCCAGGTTGCGTATGTACAAGGAATTGCTTCCTAATTCTTTAGTAGCTTCTATTAGTTAAGTATAGTATTTAGTAAGTATTGACGATAGTCCTTGTAAAGGAATGAGAGTATGAAAAAGAAGGATGGAATTTTATTTTCTTGTTTTGTTGCATATCTGTTTAGAGAAACTTGCAGAACTTAGATTTTTGTAGCCCAGCATTTCACGGAACAGCTCAACGTGCCAGCTGGAGTGGAGACATAGCAGGAAGGAGCTCCTAGATTAGAGCTGCTGCTGCCAGCTCAGAGCCCTGGAAGTGCAGCTATATTTGATAACATGAGTTGGCTTAGAGAAGAGCCATGTTGTGTAATTGCTTATGAAACTGGGAAAGTATAATTTGTCTATTTTACAGTCAGTGATAAACCGTTGAGCTGGCAAAGCTGATACCAAACTTCCTACATCAGAGGAGGCTGCTGATCTAAAAGCCCAGCTTGCATAACTAAATGCAAAATTTTTTTTTTTGAGAATTCACAATGTGGCCTCTGCACTGACATGTTTTACAAGTACCTCCGAAAGGTCTGCTTTGAAGCACCTACTGGGTTGAAGCTTTGTACTGTTTTACATCTTGGTAGCCTTCGTTAATTCCACACTCTTCTGTCATATTTGCGTTACAGTTCCCCTGCGCAGGATTCTATCTACCTAGCTGTGGCTTTTCAGTGTTAGCAGCAATTGTTAGGAATCGGCTATTATTGAGTAGCCTTTCCCATATTGGTTTCTTTTTTTTTTTTTTGTTGTTTGGTTCATGATACTGGTTTTCTGGGCTGTTCCCTTTGTTTTTTTAATGTGACTTTCCAGGTAAGGAAAGGCTATTACTGAAGGGTACATAATCATAACAGAAGGGAGAAAGATCTTTATGATAGTGAGTTACTGGGAAAGTCGTCTGAAAAACAGTATCCCCATTGAAATTGTCCTTCGTGAAAGGAGAAAAATGAGGAACTCTGCTCTAGAGAATCTATGAAATACTAAGATCGTGACATGAACCAGGACATGTTTTCCATGTTTGTATGGAATCTAGAATGAGGAATCATAGTCCTTGGTTTTACTGGTATTGAATACACTGAGAAGTCCTTGAATATATTTGTATTACTCTATACGATTCATAAAAGCTGTTTTTAAAGACAGTGGGGTAACGTTTATGGACAGCCACTGTAGCCTACCTCTGCTTAGATTAAATTAATTTGGTAGTTCAAGTTAATCACAATGATACCTGAGAGGCTGTGTACTTGCAGGAGAAATCACGGTTTGAGTGCCTTCTCCTCCTTCCTCAGTTTGACAGTTGAGAATAAATCAATTTCAGCAGAATCTCAGTTTTCTAGTCATGGTCAATTTACCTTTCTGTCATTGCAGCTTAATTCTGTCTTGATGACTTTATCTTGTCTTTTCTAGAATGTCAGAGTTCTAGGAGATTGGTCTGCGTTGCTCACCGCTACTGCTTTCATTAAACTCAGAGTAATTTACCTGCTGCATGCAGAGGCGTGCACTTGCGCAAGCAAAAGTGCTGTAACTGCAGCCGAATTGGATGGCTAACAGTTAAGTGTAAGCATTTAGCCCAATATTAGAGATGAACCCTCCACCCAAAAATATGATTTTATGACACACTTTCTGGGTGACTGATGCTTGCCACTGGCTATCACATTAACTTTACCACCTGCTTCCTTTTGTACGTTATTGCCAACGAAACATACTTTGAAAATCCCCTGGGATACTGAGAGGGATGTGATAATTATGATAAAAATCAAGAGTTATAACATTTCAAGAAGTGTTTGTCCAATTTTTTGTTCATCTCTTACTTCCACTGCTGAGTTACAGGAAAATAAGAGAGCAGAATTTCTATATTGATCTCTCAAATTATTATTTAATTTTATTTTCTTGCCATGTCTAGTCTCCATCTCCAGATTCCTCTTCACCTCGGGGTGCTGAATCATCAAGCAGGCAACATCACCAGGATGTCTGCAGTACAGCAGAGCCCTCCACTAATAAAGAGGTAGAATGAAATCTTTCTAAAAGCCACAATGGTATTCTTGCTACTCATGCCTTCTTGTTTTCCCTGCCCCCTTGTGTCTGTGCAGTCCCTTCTCTCCTAACCAAAACTGTGACAAATCTGAAAAGTGGTTTGCAGTTCTTTTGATTTGTGCTTGCCTGGCAGTCTGACTGAGTCTCTAACGTACTTAAGGCTGTTTATCATTGCTTTTCTGATTCTATGTTTGGCTGTCATTAAATGCGTTTAGCAGGCTGGAATGTATTGACTTCCTGAAGAACAGCCAACATAACCTCTGTATTAGAGGCAAATGGAAGGAGCCCTTTTTTTAAATCCTGCAGAGCATCTTGCCACGACAAAAATAATGTTTCTCAGCAAGGTGAATAAACTTGCTTAAGTAAAGCTAATTAGGTAATATTTTTTGCTGCTTACCGTATTATTGTTATACAAATGGCCTGCTGGAAGAACTAAGTGATTTGGTAATAGCCTGCCAGTGGTTCACCGTCTGGATCCAGCAATTCCTGACTCCAGGCTCCTCAAAATCAAGCTAAATACTTGAGAGAGAGAGAGAGAGAGAGAGAGAGAGAGAGATATGTATATATATGTGTATGTATGTATATGTGTGTGTGCACGCGTGCACACACACGCATGTACATGTACACACGCATAAATACACACACATATATACATATATATATGTATATATATATAAATAAATTACCTAGACTTGAGAGCTTTTCACCGTGCAGTAGTTCCCCCAGATCAAAATCTGCTGTTTAAATGGAACTTCTCAGAGTGTGAACAGGAAATTATTTGTCATTTAAAAAAAAAAAAAAAAATTTAGATGAGTGTAGAATGGCTGGCTCTCTAGGCAGGAAAAGCTGCAAATATCTGTGTTTTTTGCTTTTTAAACTTTAACAAATCTAATGTGGAAAAGAATCCTGAAAAACAAGTTGTCACAGTAGCTATCGAGATACCGTGTTGTTATTGGTAGCAAAGCATGAGTTATCTTCCACCATGATGAAACTGGGCTGCTATAACTGGAAAAACTGATGAAAATTGAAACACTAAATTGTAGTCCATTCTTTTTCTTTTGTTATCATCGAGGGGCTAAAAAGCTTTTATCATATATGTATTTGTGCCAGTTTATATTTGCATTTAGAAAAAGATGGACCCTTTCAAAAGACAAGGATTTCTTAATTTCTGCTGTGCCAAAGCCTTCAACAGTGGTTTGTGTCTTAACATCTTTGTCTGCAATATTCTGAGCTGTTCTAGCCTTTGGCCTTCTTTACATACGTTATCACTTCATGCATATTCTGATCATTAGATATCATGAAACGTATTCAAAGGAAAAAATATCAAGATGTTACTCGTTTCAGTCTTTAGTGTGGGACCACATGTAGTATCAGAAGTAGTAAAACAGATTTCACAGTGGGGTATGTCAGGCTGTTTATTTCCTCCAGATAAGCAATAGTGCTCTGCTTTAGTACCTCGCTTGCAAAAGTAACAATGACAAAGCAGCTTAATTATTTTCGGGAACAGCTTTTACGTCTTAACAAAACCAGTTTTTGAAGTATAAATGTTATAATACTTGGCTGAAAGGCAACAAGATTAACAAGAGTAATAAAACATTAATAACCTAGCTATTTCATTATTCATAGTATGTAAAATTAAAAGGTGTAGATTTCTTCTTTTCAGTAACTTTACCTTGCTGTTGCTATGGTATTAGCAGAATGGGTTTTGAGGTGGGTAATAAACAAAAAAATTTATTTGTATGTAGAACTTTTGCAATAAAAGCATATATTCATGTTAGTTTACAATATTTTATCCTGAAAGGAAGTTGTTTTAACTGGTAAGATAGTTGAATATCTGTTCAGGTCTTGGGTCTGTTTATTTAAAAAAAACATATACTTTGAAAAGGGCATTCCTATGGGTAAGTTGTCTCTTTTTTTCTCAAGTATGCTGTGGATTTGTTCTCTAGATCTGTCGTAGTCCGACTGTTCAGTTTTCCTCCTAGCAAAACACCAGTTATAGTAGCAGTTAGGCACAGTGGTTGAAGTCTGTACAGGAGGTCCGGTAAAAATAGTCACTGCAAATAGAAGAGTCACAGAGCATCTTCTCCTGATTTGAAAATAATTGTCCTCACAGCAGTTGATTTCCATTAAATGCCTTGGCAGCAGGAGTTCAATGGTGACAACTCTATTTATGCTAGTGCTATCTCTGATGAATAACTTTCCTAGTTTTATAGTACATCTTAGTCATTTTCACAAGGAACAGCAACTGTTCTAGGGCAGTGCAACTCTGCTCTCTGTATCACGCACTTTTTGTTTCTCTGACACAAGTCACTTTATAGCAAGGCCTGCAAAATTTGTTGAAAAATACTCCTGATTTGTCACATCTTTGTAATAATAAATGAAAAAGCCTTGTGGGGTTAGTCGCTTAACCTGTCATATAACTGTGACCTTCCTAATTTCCTAATTTTTTCCACTAACGCATAGAACCTAGTAAGTTGTGTGCCACAAAGGAAAGTAAATTAGCATGTGTGCGAATATATAAATGAAGCTGGAACTTGTCTAACACACTGGACGTTATCCTAATCGTACTCGGATCTTATTTTAATGTAACTAATATAATGGGCGGCCATTGGAGGAATTTATAATCTACTGTAGATTCCTTAAAGTTTTGTTGTCCTTAGTTTATCAAAAATTTTTTATCTGCAACACGTATGAAAGCACCATATATTTCTGTTTGTCTATTACCATCCATACACTGACACACAGAATATTCTTTGATAGATTTTCCTGTGTGGGTATATTATTGATTACAGCAAAATAGTGATTTCACTGAAGTGGCAGTCAGATGTTCAATGTGTTACCCACCGAGTCTTTAACAGAAAGTTACCTTTGGAAATAAGGTGGTCTTTTAGTCTATGTATTTACAAATGCAGGACAGGGGGGATTTGTTGTTGTTTTTTGTTAGTTTATCTTTTATGAAATAGAGACTGTCAGATTCTTTACTTGATAAAATAAGGAAAATATAAATGCCTTGCTCAGAGTTTTCACTGTCCAAATCAAAAGTGTGTGTATGTGTATTTTTGTGTAAACATAGTTGGTTGAATAGTGTTACTAAATTTGTTTACCCCACAGAATACAGGTTACTGCCTAACCTGTTGAAATTGGGAAAGTTATATGTAGGCTGTATTGACACGAGGGATAAATTTAAGATCAGTCCTAACGAATACAAAAATTTAGTTCATGATTAACTGCCTGGGCTGATGGTTTCAGTCGTGAATAATGAGGGTATTGGGACATGTTATATACTTCTACATGTATTTATCTGTAGTTGGAAAATCCAGCGGCTGTGAGATTTGATATATTTTTCCATGTGCTTTCAGGTTAGTAAAAACAGAGCGCTGGTTGGTAGACAGGAAACACGGTGCCGAACACCAGCGAGTAACTGAAAACTTGAGTGTAGCACATTGCCTGACAGATGAACATGCTAGTGCAATACGTTATACTTAGGAATAATAGCCTCTAATGAGTAGACAGAGTAATATAATTCTTAATAAACTGTGATCTTCCTTTGCTAATAACTATGACTAATTTTTTTTGGCATGAAGAAATTTTTAATGCATATTGGCGCATGCTTTGTTCTGTTTGAAATCCTGTTTGTCTTAATTACAGTCCAGAAAAAGCTTGGCTTCATTTCCAACCTATGTTGAAGGTAAGATACAGAACTATTTTGTCATATATCCAAAGAACTCTAGTATTTATAATGTGTGAAATTATATTTTTATTTGTTGAATAGAAAAACTACGAGGATTGGATGATCTGGTTTAGGTTAAATTGGGTCCAATCTGGAGCTTGAACTGAACCTTGCTAGGCTCTTTTGCAAGTTCAGAAACGTACCTCTTATTTTTGAGCATTTTGTTCATAGTTTCTGTCCCAGTTCTGTTGAGTTTTTATCAGTATCACTTAAAACACCACTAAAACTTTTTTTAATGGCATTCACACAACACATGTTAATGTGTGTGCACAGTGAGCTATTGTTCTGACAAGGTTAGGCAAGATTACTGTAATGATTGCTGTCCAGCATTGAGGCAGGCCTGGGAGAGGAAATTTTCATGGCTTTACAGGTGCTTGTCCTCTAAGTAAATAGAGCTTCCTGTTTCAGAGTCAGGGTAGCCCTTGTACTCTTGCTAAACTTACTCAGAACGGTGTGAAAAGCAGGTTATCTGCTACATGAGCTTCTCTTAGCTTTTCTATGACTCTGCACTCTGTGTATACAAAGAGACTGCATGCTGTAAAACAGTTATTTCATTTTGAGAGCATGACAGAAACAGGAAATTTGAAGATTCTTTTGCTGTTTTGCCCTGGCGGCAGTTGTGCTCCATGCTTTATAAAATGGCAGAAATAAAGCTGATACAATATTTCATTTGGATTGTCTTGACATTCCTTGGGTTGCTTTACAGTGTGCTGTGCTGTGTTTAAAAGATTATATGATCAGTGTCTTTAGACTGTAAAATTGATCATTGGTTAGTATTCAATGTATGTACTATACATTTTGGAATCTGTCACCAGATCATCAGCTAGTGTAGATTTCATAGGTTGTTTTGAAAGTAAATGAGCTTTGGAAATAGGCAATAGTGAAGGATCAGTCTCAGAATTAAAATTTATCTCCAGGAGCCAGCCCTCTCTATTAAGGGCAATATTACAGCATCCTCCCCTCCTTTCAAAAAATTTTTTTTAAACTAAATTTTTCTTAGATATTGATCTTTTGGGAAAATGCTTAAAAAATATACGTACTGAGTACGTACTGAATGTGTGTTCACTTCCAGTGGCAATAGAGCACATTCCTTTTCCATTTTGAATGTGCTTCCTTCCTGAAGTCTTATCGGCACCTCTTTCAGCCTACGTTTATGTTTTTTGTGTTTTTATCAAAAAGTGTACTAAAAAGGATTTGGAGCTGGAAGTGGTGATAGGGCCCTTGTATGTAGAGTAATGAATAACACCATTTAAAATGCTGTGGGTTTTCAGGACTGGAAGAGTGCACAAATATGCAGCACTTACAGATGTATAAATCTCCCTAAGGGAAAAATTTCATTTATTTGGGTCATCTACTTGAATGTTGCTAGTTCATTTTGAGCAGTGTCCAGGTACATGGTGTATGATCAGATTCTGCATGCTCAAGATGAGCATCTCAAAACTCTTAGTCATAAATTTTCATATTTAAAAAAAACACAGCAGGCAAAAGCTCCTGATAAGATTTGTGAGTGTACTTGTATCTCTGTGTGTATTTTGAGTATTTCATATATGTGTGTGTATTTATATATATATGCATATATATATAAAATGTAGTTATGTAAGTTATATAGGTATAGGAGTTACATTAACTGTATATTAATATATTTATAATTAGTATACAGTTAATGTATAATTAGTTAATGTGTATATTAACTCCTCAAATTACACGCACACATTATATAGCTATATAAAAATTAATAATGACCTGTATTTCTTTGGGGCTGTGGTTATTCATGCTCATTCTAAATGCTTGTTACTCTCTCTTTAATAAATTAGAATTATTATTCAGCATTCTGAATTATACAAGACTTTGTGTCCCCATCACCACAAAAATATCTGAAGATAACCCTTGGACCGATAAGCACTCCGTTCTGATATTTTAGGGTTTTTCACTTTGAAAAAAAGAAACAAAAAACAGTTTGTTTTTGATGATAAAATATTAACACTTAAAGCAGTCTCTAAAATGATTTGCCTTTTCACTGGCCTTGAACATAAATTCTTCTTCCATGCTTGTAACAAAACAAGCCTCTTATGTAAACCAGCATCCCTATTGATTCATGACAAGTGAAACATCTAGTGAGAAATACTCAATCCTTTGTAGATATAATCTCCAAACACCAAAAATCTGAAGTTCATAAATACTGCTTTATAAGGACTTAAGTTTTTAGGTGCTGAATACTTCTTTACCCACTGACTTTCCACAGACGTTGACAGATGTTGAATCCTTAAGAATCTTGCTGGACTAAGACAATAGGCTCCTTTTCCAGCAGGAGAGCCTATGCTCTGTATTTTTGATTATTCTTTCCCTCGTCGTCTTGTTGTGACAAAGCATGAATTTTAAGGGACTATGGCATAAAAGCACTTTCCTTAATTGGGGGTTGATGCTACCAGTCTTCTCCATAAGGGGACATGTTGTACCTGTAAAGCACTCCAGGGAGATTCCTCTGCCTAGTCCAGTAGCTATGGGTAATACGCAAGTGAGCAAGTTGCTGATGGCTGTTCTTAAATTGTGCCCTTCCAGCCCTCTTTCTATCTGTGACTGTATCTGAACAGTGACGTGTTAGTGCTAGTCAAAATTGCAAGGCTGTTGGTAGTGGGTGAGGGAACAGCTGAATACCTGTGCCTCTTTTTATGAGCAAAAGCTCTCAGAGTTTATTTTGCCCAAAGGTGACGCCTGCCTCACGAAGGAAAGAGCTGTTGTGAGAGACAGGCTGGATTAACAATTACAGCTTCTGCTGGGGAGATTGGAAAGCATTTGCTCAGTGTTTTGTACCTGTGAAAGCACTGGTTGCCATGTCATTAAGTTAAACCAGAGAAGAGCGTTTACAGCCAGCCGTCAGGTGCAGGCTCAAGTAATCAGAGTGCTGCTGTTGTGCCGTGGTTCAGTATGATATTCTTCAGTGATTTCTTTCTTGTGTTACAGTTCCTGGACCTTGTGATCCTGAAGACTTAATTGATGGAATCATTTTTGCTGCCAATTACCTTGGCTCCACTCAACTCCTTTCGGATAAAACTCCGTCCAAGAATGTGAGAATGATGCAGGCTCAGGAAGCTGTCAGCAGGATCAAGGTGAGGAATGACTCCTGCTATTTCTTATGCTGAGGCCTTACAGTGGCAGATGTGAACTTCTTAGGTATGCAGTAGTCTTTTCATGTTGGGTTATCTGTGTTTTCAGAAAGGTTAAGTGCCTGATCTTGCTTTCTGCAAGCACTTGTTTTATGCTGCAGAATGATAAGGAATCATTTTAATTCCCTACAGTACTAGTTGTTTCCTGTACTGTAAGCCAAAATCTAAACTGAGTGGTGGTCTAACTGCTAGGTTACCTGGGTGCTGAGAGAAAACAGGTTTAGGGAAAAACTTGTGTTGTGGTTGCTTCTGATCTGGCATTTATCAAAGCTGTGCTGTAGTAATACCTGCCTCTTTCTGGCCATGTTGTACATAGTACTTCTTCACCTCACATCAGCTATGAACTGATGAACAGAGAGAGTAGTCCCTGATAGTAGGGAGATGTATGGAGAAAACAGTGTTTTTCATGGAATCTGATATATTCTCTACACTTCTTTGAAAACAGGAACACTCACTGATTTCTGTATGGGCAGGGATAAGGGATGGCCATTCTCATCCTATATTGTAAGCTGACAATGGTGACACTGTCAATGGATATTAAGATGTGTGGAGGAAATATTGCACAGAGGATGCTACAATCTTAAGATACGTTTAACCCCCCCCCCCCCCCCCCCCCCGCCCCATTACTCTGTTGCATGGTGGGCTCACGGTTACATATAGCTTGTGCTAATTCAGGTACCCAGCATAATCTCATCTGAAAGTTTTCATGAGTTTATTATTTACATGTTCTTCTTTTGCACAGTTTATTTTGGGCTCCAACTGAGACTCTGTGTGTACAATAGTGTAAGAGAGAGGAAGGGAGAGAGCATGTTATCAGCACAGTCGATACACCTGATGCTTCCTGCAGTTATTGTTCCTTCCCATATTTTCCATACCAGGTGCCGACTTCAGTCTGTGCGTGAACTTGTAGAGCGATGCTCCCGCTAGAACCATTTAGACACTTTCAGAAGTTGTAATTTTGCCTATGTTCAACTATACATAAGTTCTTGTAACCTTGTCTTTGAAAATCACCAACTCTCTAGCACTTTGGCAGGGAAGTAGCCTTCCTGTTCAGATAAGTCTTTCCCTGTCTTTGTAAAGGCCTGCCCAAATTTAGACAAATAATAAGCTTTTTGAAAAATAGTGATCTGTGTGTGTTCAGTGGTGACAGTGGTTTCAGTTCTGTTTTTTTAAAAGACTTTCAAGTCAGCAAGCTTTCTCAACTCAGCTGCTCGTAGTCTTAATGAGAGTCATATGTGCAGTATTCCTTTACATTTACAGCTGAGACTTTCCCTTACAGTGTGTGCTCCTTTCTTTCTCTGGGTGCAAGTGAGGCTGTGCCTATCTGTGTTTATTAGTCCCCACATCTCCTTTCCTGACACTTGGATGCGTGGTAGAGAAGTTGCTTGATTTGAATGCAGACGAAACAAAAAGGTAAGCTAGAGAAGGAAGAGAAATAAGGACTTCAGTGTGACTGCATCTAGGAGGGACGCGTGGCTGGAAGGTGAAAGGAATGGTTAGGATCAGCTGTGATGGAAAACTGGTAGTGGGAACCAGAAGGCTCGGGGCAGCTGGGCTGGGGGCCGAGCAGGAGGTTTGCATCCAGGAGGCAAAGCGTGTGTGGGATAACAGGAAGAGACAATGATTGAAGGAAGATGTTAGAGAAAAGCAGCGCAAAAATGATTTGATTTAGAACTGGCTTTGTGAGGTAGAAGAGCTTAGAATCTTGCTTAGATATTAATATATTACTTGGAATTTCAGTAACAAAATACAGCTCTTTCTGAGGGCTCTGTTATGCCCTAGCACTGCTTTGTCTCAACACAGAAGAAATGTACTTAGCTCATTTCACCCATCGAACCTATAGATTATAAACCAAATAAATGAGCAGGTGTGCACCTGTTGGTTGTCGTAATTTTGTTCAAAGTGGAGACCCAAGTAGTTGCGTTATTGACCTGGTAAGGCCCTAGCTGGTGCACATGAATTTTCCGAAGCTGCGAGTAGATTTCAGAAGATTGATTGCTTACTACTTGGCATGTGTTACCACTGCACACTTTGACAGTTATGGCTTTTCAGCTTCTAGGGGAACTTCAGGAAATGTAAATAGCCCTGGGCCTCAGGATTCTGGTTTGTTAGACTTGGTTTTGGCTCTTTTTGTGAGTTTTGTCATGAAAACCAAACCTGCCTAGTGGTGACTTGATTATGACAGATGCTGCCAGATTCATCGTTGCTGAAGACAGCATTTAGCCCAGAAGTGTAAAATGTTGCCTAAAGCATGCTGATAATGCTTGTGTGCTACTCATGTTTGTTTACGGAGTGTGTAGGGTGTTGCATGTGAAATGTTTCTCTGTGGTTAAAGGTAACAAAAGTTATGAATTAAGAATGATCTTTTAAAAACTTAAAAACATGAAATTAAGAACATTAAAAGGGGGAGAAGGCCTTTGTTTAAGGCATGCTGCTACGATACTTTCCATTTAAAGCAACCTGCACTGTTAGGCTCATGCATCTGAATGCGTTCGTTTTTAATTTAGCAATCCCTAGTAATGCCTCGTTTTAGCAGAACCTTTAGACCACTGCGTTCACTCATTTAGAATTTAAACAGATTTTACAAATGCTTCTCCATACTTTGTATTTACCTGAGTATCTCTTCAGTTAAAAGTATAAAAGAGTTGAGACTTTTTTTTCTGCTCGGGTGCTTTTCTCCATGAAGTCTAGTCCACCTAAGTTAAAATGTGTCGTGCTTTGAAGACAGTCACCAAACTTTTTTGACTTGATATTCCCACTAAAAGGTACTTTTATATTCACTGTTTTCTGACCGTAGTCTCATTTTCTTCAAATAGCAAAGGAAGAAACATCTTTCCCTGTTTTACTTTGACTGGATCTGTTTAATGCTTGTAACAGTTTAGAAAAGTTAATGTTCACACTTAACAATTCACAGCTGATTTGTGCAGAATAGCTGTTGTGTTTTGCATGTAAAATAACAGCTAGCTTTTATTTTTATTTTTCATCAGCAGATTTGTACTGTATGGGAGGTTTGAACAGTTTAGACACCAACTGAATTAATTAACTGAAAGTAGCTGAAGATAGAATCCATGCATGACAATCATTTAATATCTTACATGTTATTGTTTACAAAGGGCCGTCTGGGGTTCTCTGGGTTATAGTCCGTTTCTTAATGGGTTAAAGTTAAGAAGAAAGATGTTAAATGGGTTACATGTACTTAATCCATCCTTCTAGCGTAAATGGAAGTTTGCTTTTTATTTTTTAATAACAATAAATAACAATATTTTGGAAACAGCAACATTTCACTTAAATGAAATGTTTGGACTCCCTATATTTAAGAAACAGTATTCATTTAAATTAGGTTGTTTCTAGTTTTCTAAGAATGTTAGAAGGATCCTTTGATTCAAGTTAGCAAAATAACTTAGTCATGAAGAATATTTGTTTGACAGTGTATCTTTCATAGAGTTATCCTAAAAATTTCATGGACCGTAGCTTCTTTCCTGCCATTTCTGTGCAGTGCCAATCACTTCTTAAAATTGGCGCTTCACTACCTTAGTTTTATGAAATATTTGAAAATCGTTCTCCAAGAAGTTAAAACTAAGACTGCTGCAATTGAGTTCAGGAGCAGAAATCTGAAGAAGCAAATGCATAACAGGGTTTTTTGAGTCATGTTTGATTCTTCACTGTAGGCTCCGCCGCAAGGATTTTTTCTGCTTTCTCTTCTTTTAAGCCTGTGCTTTTTTTATTTTGAGAGTTCTGTCACTCTGTAAAGCTTGAAAAAATTTATCTGAAAGGGAACTTGATTTTGGGGAACAGTCTAAATGCCTTATCTCCAGATTGTCTCTGCCCAGTATTTGCCAGGCAGCTATATTCAAGATAAGTATATTATTTCTGAGTACCAAGGTAAATTAATTTAATGCAGAGCCTTCAGCATGAGACAGGTCTAATTGCTTTTGTAGCAGTTTGCTGTCACCAGACTATAACAGATTTCTCAGTTTGAGTAGGGTTAGTAAAAGCAGTGTGAAAATGTTTGTTCACATTTATAAATAAGAAGCACAGTCTAAAATTTCAGTAGCTATTTGCAGACTGGTTTAAACTAAAACTGACAGATTTAAGTTGTAAGCATCAGTGTAAAACATTGGATGTGTCTGTGATTCAGGCTTCCTGCTTGTTCTTCCTAAATATAATTAGTCATGAATCTTTTTCTGTGAAGCCTGTCGTAATAAGACCACGGCCCACCACAAGGGCACCTGTTAATTTAATTAGCTAAGAGGCAGTGTTACTGTTGAAAGCGAAAGGATATCTGCTAGCCTCATGAGTATTGCCTTTTTTTCAGTAAGGAGGTCCATAAATTCAGTTCGCCTTAGGTTTGTATTTCAACTTGAATTAATGATTGCAAGATTTTAAGAATGATAATAATTACTAATATTATTGCTATTGTCACTGTAATAGCACATAACATACTGATTTATTACAATAGGGTGAAATATCTCTGGATGTAAAGCAGTTAAACTGCTTAGTTATAGGAGACCATTTTCAGGTGTCGGTGGAAGGGCCTCTCTTCTGCCTTTTATGAAAAAGTGTGGCGGTATGGACCTTTATGCGGGTGTCACAGGAAAACTTGCTGTCCAGCAGCAAAACTTGTTGTCCAGATGCGTGATACTAACTTGGCATGGGTGTATTTGCACGGAAGAATGAAATAGCAAAAAAATTCGAGTCAGTTATCTTCTGCCATCTTGTTTTTCCAGGAAAGATTAGTATAGTTTTAGGGGATTTGTTTTTTAGGCTTGCTCCTGTGTGTAGGAGCATTAGGCAACTTGAAGTTAAGTTCTTTAGATCTGAAAAAGCTGGAATAATAATATTTGAGCTTCTCCTCTCACCTTTTACACTGGTGTTTCTTCAGAAGAGCTCCTCATGGTTTAGAATGCTGTAAATGGAAAAAAAAGGCTATTTGTTTAGAGTAAACCCAACCTTTTCTATTCTTCCTAGCACAATTTCTTTTCATTTTTTTTTAAGCTATATTTTGTGTGGGGTGTGCACGAAAAAAAAAAAAAAAAAAAAAGGAAAGGAAAGAAATGGAAAAAGGAGGAAATTAATCCAAGCAGGAACTAACTTAGATCAGCTAGCAGCCTGTGAGCCCTGGCATTAGTATGCAGATCCCTGCTTGAGTTGGAATTTCTGTACGTTCTCTAACTCTTCTCCTGTCTCTGTTTATTCCATGCTAAGCAGATGGCCCAGAAATTAGCCAAAAGCAGGAAGAAGGTGCAGTACAAACTCCATCAGCTTGATGTTATGCCTGTTCTTTTGTTTTCTGGGAGGGATTTTTCCTTTCTTTTTATTTTGTGCTTTTATTTTCTGCATCCAGCAAGTTTTTGTTTAGGTTTATTTCTGAGCCGCATACAAGTTAACATTTCTCTGAAATCAGTTGCCCGATTGGCCATTTTTTTGTTGCTTATCATTAGCCATTTCATATTAGAAACAGGGTAAAGATTGGATTTATCAAATGGTTACAGGCAGTACCCAAAATGCATACTAAACGAACAGGACTGACATGGCAAAGGTTTTAACTCTGTAAAATACCAGATTAAACAATAAGTGTCTGTTTTTATCCCTCTCTAAAACCTGTTTTGCTCAATTTACAGATGTGTCAAACTGCTGGATGCAAAAAAGAAAAGAAAGTTTACATATATACACAATCATATGCTGAGATTGACTGATTTTAGTAATAACTTTTGTTTATGGAGTTTCTAGGGGCCTTTTAACAAACCTAATTATTTTTAAAATTACAAGCATTTGCTTTCTGTTAACAAAGGTATGACTTCTGAAGTGGGTTAGTGCTTGAATAGTGTGTTGTCTGACTGTGAAGACCTTCTTACCAGAACTGCATTATGAATTGCTTAAACTGCACCCACCTGTGGTACATGTTTTTACATTGGTCTGAGCAGTCACTGTTAGCCCATTCAGAAACTCCTCAGGCAAGAAATACCTGTAGCCATTTGTATGGCTTGTGTGAAAAACCTTCTTTAAAGTGAAATTCATAACGGGGGAGAAAATGGGAGAATCATTTGATTTTCACAAAATCTTTATACAGTTCATGTTGCAGTGAGGTATAACTTTACTGGATCAGGAAAGTGATCAGGGAGGTTTTTATGGGATTAACGATTTTTCAAGTAATACCTAATTCACTTTCATATATATGCATATAGTTTCCGTGTCTTTATGTTTGTCTTTAGCTTCTGCAGTCTAATACTCTATTTTGCATTGCTGTTCTGGTGACAGTGTCTTAGTGTGTCCCGGTTTGTGATCTAATATAATCTTTAAGGATATTACCTAATATGTTTGTTAATGCTAATAAATATATTCACAGGCTCCGGAAGGTGAATCTCAACCCATGACTGAAGTGGACCTCTTCATTTCCACACAGAGAATAAAAGTATTGAATGCAGATACACAGGTATAGACAAAGAAGCCATTGCCAATGTTGAAATAATAGTTCATTGAAATAGACTCTCACCTACCTGCCAAAATTTGGCCTTCAGAAAATGCTGGTTCTTGTATTTCCGTCTGGGATTTCCTCATAAGAAATCCATGTTATAGAAGCATGTCGTACATGCAGTTACTCTGGTGTGTTACTCTGGAAAATGGTAAGAGTTCGCAGGTAAGGTGACCCCAGCTGTCCCCCTACTTCTTATGAGAAGCTAAGTTGCTCACATTACAGAATATTCTAGGTAGCCTGGTATTGTAGTGTGACAAGTGTTGATTGTCCACAGAGTAGACAGAGTAGTCTAAAACATGTGATTGTGATAATTTGAAGTTCATAGTCCTGAGTACAGTGGTCCCGTATATGCCCTGCATATTCATGTTCTGATACTGAGGTCTTTGCATTCTTTTCCATAGGAAATAAAACTTTAAATTGGAAAACTTGCTGTTTGGTTTGTTTCTGGAAAGTGAAGCTTTTGATTTCTCTTGGCATCTCCTCCTCTGCATGAGACTTTTTATGGACTTAGAGTTGCTATTAGTGTGTTTGTCTAACCCCAGGAGTGCAATAAGAACTTTCTGAAAACGGCTGATGATGTTGATTTTTTGCCTAGGAAACCATGATGGATCATCCCCTGCGGACCATTTCTTACATCGCAGATATAGGGAATATTGTTGTTCTGATGGCACGTAGACGAATGCCACGGTCTAACTCCCAGGACAATGTGGAAGCTTCTCACCCTTCCCAGGATGGAAAGAGGCAGTACAAAATGATTTGCCACGTCTTTGAGTCTGAGGATGTAAGGAATTACTCTGTCTCATGATTGCCTAGGGGTGGAAATGTAAGCCTATTTTGATAGGCTTGAAGTCCATCACTAGTGGTCCTGTTTATTTGTTAACTGCAAAAAAATATTTCATCTAAGCAGAGGAACTTGCCTTCTGTTTGCATATTGGGGCCTGATATTTTAATCACAAATTTGGTGTGTATAGAAAAGCTTCCCACTTTAAGTGCCTACAATGTCTTCCGGTGGCAGTGAGAGTCAGGCCCTGTTGCCACAGCTTACATATACCAGCTCAGAAATTCTACCTGTGAGTGTGATTGTCTGTCAAAGACATTTATTTCCCTATGAAACTTCTCATCCCACCTGTTGCTGCAAGGATCATTAATACATATCAGAAAGGTGATTTTTTTTTTTTTTTTAAAGGGAAGGCTTGAAATAGGGAGCAGTTGCTGATGTCATCCAAAAAACAGCCAAGAAAGTTGGTAATTCAAGTGATCCCAAAGTGCACTAAGTGGAGACACATCTAAATGAGTATGTATGGTGTAGGTTTATTGCATTACCTGTTATCAAACTTGCTATCCTGCCCTCAGCAGTTACAACCCAGACATTTGTGGAAGAAAAACCAGTGTGTACAACTTGTTGATTTTATTTATTTTGTTAAACTCCGTAACCGAAAGGTAAAACTAAACATACATATGTCAGAACAAAGTGGCTAGATACTTAGTTAGCAGTCTCATAATCAAGTTAGCCCTAAAATGAAGTGATGTCACACAACGTTATCACATAATTTGGGAAAAGAGCAAATCGCATTTAGCTCTCAGCCCTTCAAATAACAGGATATTAACTGTCTCCATGGCAACTGTCATATTGATACCAGTCAGATGGTTCACGTAGCAGGAGGTGGAAGGAGAAGATTTGCTCCCAAGTGAAAATCGTGTTCAGACTAGGGCTGTGATCCCAGTTAAGTAAGGCATACTGCCCAGACTACAGATAAGGAGGTAATAGTTTATTCCTGTTTCTTGTGCCTAGCATACCACTCAGGGTGCAGAAAGACTGTGTAGTTCATTTCAGTGTATATTGAAGTAGTTAACGGAAGTTAAGTGAAATCACCCATTTTCTTTGGAATACCTCATATGCCTTCCACTCCATGGAGTACGAGTGAGGACTTTCAGATGGAAAGGTTTCCTAGAATAAACAGTTGATTTTATTTTGTGGTGACCCTATTCTGAGCTTATGTTCGATAAATTCTGTGGCTGCAAATGCAAGTACATATATCACCCGCTGCTGAGGTTAAAAACTAAAGAGAAGAGCACTGATAAAGGTAATCCTTTACCAAAACGTTGACAGAAAACATTAAAAAAGTGGTAGTGGTTTTTTAAAGAGCACATAAGCCAGCTTTGCAGTGTCCTTCAAGAAACTGATGTGCAAGTGGAAAGACTAATGGTTTGTTTTTGTTGTTGTTGTTGTTTCATATCACTCAATAAGCTGCCCGATTTGTGGCTGTAATTCCTATATTTCCGGTTACAAGTGTTGGACATCACTGGACTCTCTTACGGGCCAGCTGAAAAAGTGGGGATTAAGTTGTCAGAAGCCAGAGGCAGTGTGTGGTTTTCCTTCAGCCTGTGAAAGCTTGACTGTGATCCAGCCTTCATGGATCTTTTTCCTATAGCCAACACTTTGGCTAACTGGCATCTATGCTTCCATTTGGGGATGCTTCCTGTTGTTTGGTTGGATTAGGTCATACTTCTATCAGATGTGATCCTCCCTGTGCCAGTAGAAACTGGCTTGGAAAGTACATGTCTGTTGTTCCAAAGAAAGCATCATTCAGTAATGTGAAAATATGCTAAAAGATTTTGGAGATTGTATCAGCTGTCCTTTAGTCCTGGTGTAGTTCATAAAGAGCTTGCAAAAATTGTCTCAAAGATCCAAATGACTAGGAAAAAATAAATTGGGGAGGAATTACAATGTAGACATCATAATAGCTGTTAGCAGCAAAGGGGTTGCAGCTCCAAAGACCCTGTACCTGCAGTGCAGTAGTACAGACTCTTTATGCTATAAACTTCATATATATTTCATTGTAACCTTTTCTTCTGGGACTGCTGGGTATCAAGAAGAATTTGCTCAAGAGCTGGCTCATAAACTGTAAGTTGTCAAGGAAGTGTTGGCCAGACTGTGTCCTTGCTTGTCATGGTCCTTATCTAAGAAGCACAGCATCGGATTATCAGTTGTATTTGAGGCTGGATCTTCAGAAGAACTGAGCTTTTGTGTGCAATTGTTGGATGTCTAAATGGGAGCTGAACTCTTAAGATCTTTCTTAAAGATCAGCTTTCTTTAAGGTCAGCTTTTTATTTCAGGGTTGGTGACCCTTTCTTTATTAGGGAGCAAACTGGACTTAAAAATACGGTTGATAGCTGTACAGAAATGCACCTCAGGTGTATTCGTGCATCCCCAGTGTTCCCCCACACCTATGCTGCCAGCTATGCAGCGCTCCTGGTCTCTTCCTTCTGTTCCTACAGGCAGTGCTGTGCACCAAGGTTGGTTTCACGGCACATCATGACCACGTTCCCTGTACTGCACAGCGCTTCCTGCACCCGCTGCTGTGGTTTTGTTTCCAGCTGCAGCCCTTGCATGACACTGAGTTTCCTTTTGTCTGCCCTTGTCTCCTACTTCTCCCGTGCGGTAGCAAATGTCAGGGGTTGAAAGCAGCTTGCGGGCGGTAGCAACGCAGAAGAGCGAGTGAAAGCTGCAGGCACTGGCTGCAGAGAAGATGTTGGGAAGCTGTAGGCGCAGGAGCGTACCACATCAGATGGGCTGGGAAGAGAAAGTAGTGAGGAACTGATGGAGTCACTGGAGCTGGGGAGGGAAACATGAAGTGTCAGGGGGAGAGGCTGAAGGAGGTAGTAGGATGGAGAAGGAGCCTTGAATGACCGTTTCCAGTCACTTCAGGGGCTGGATCCAGTCATTTCAGTGGGTCAGAGCTATTAACCTTTTTTGTTTATCTGAGAGGGAGGCATGAGCTGCCAAACACACACGTGATGATTTCAAAAGAGGGAGAGAAAAAGAGGAGGAAATATCCTCTCAAATGCAGCTGTGTCTCTTCTAGTAGACATTTTCATTTTCACTGCTGGCTTGTCAGAGATGGCATTGCCTCTGCTAGAAGGGAAAGCCATCCAAGAGCTGCGTGTGCTGGAAGAGAGATTTGTACCTGAGAGCTAGCGCTCTCATTCTGCCATCTCTGCTCCAGGCAACACAGTGGGTATATCTTTATGTTTATATTAGTAATTCTTATCTGTGAAAGGAAGGCTTTATTCACGTTTCTCATTTATAATTGCCTGCCAGGCTGGATTCACAGCACAGGTGAACGCGTTGGACGTTTTGTGGGTCTTTTAAATTAATTTGTAATGCACAAATATTTTTTTAAAAGGGGTTGCAGTAACTTGAATTGTAGGAAGGAGCCATTTTGCAGTGTGACTGTAACAGAGAAAGTGTCAGTAGGCAAGATGCATCAGAATGTTTGATTTATTTATTTTTTTTCTTTTCTCCTCTCTGGGTACTGTCACAGGCCCAGCTGATCGCACAGTCCATAGGTCAAGCATTTAGTGTGGCCTACCAGGAATTTCTGAGGGCAAACGGAATCAATCCAGAAGACCTTAGCCAGAAGGAATATAGTGACTTGCTCAATACCCAGGACATGTACAACGATGACCTGATCCACTTCTCCAAATCTGAAAACTGCAAAGATGTACGTCTCGTTTTTCTCCATAACAGTGCTAAGTTGTGTGTATGAGTTGCAGGCTCGTTCTGGCATAAATTAGAAAACCGTTCATGCTTCCTAGGAATGACCTTAGTGAGGACAGAATATCCTCCCCAGGAGGATACCCTGTGGGCAATTCTGTTTCAAAAGCAAACAGTGAACCCAAAATTTATCAGCAGTGAAATGATTTACCATCTGTTTGTGTTGTCTTTTCCAAACAGTTTCAGAGATGTGGGACACTACACGTCAATGAAATGTATTTAAAACAGATTGTTAATACAGTAAAAAATATAAAATGTATGGCGGCACTAGAGAGTTTACTAGAGTGGTTGATTCCAGATTTAAGAATTATATTTGCTGAAAGGATTTGCTGCTTGTTGTTATTATTAATAAAAATGAACCAGTGCGCCTTTGCAACACACAGGTACTGGTTTTCCAATCTGCAGTCAGAAGCTCATGCAATCTCTTTCTGTTTAGCTCCCTCCACAAAAGCCCACTGCACTAGAGTTTCTTATTCTCCAGTTTCTTATTCTCCAGTTCCTTCAACTCATATGCAGAAATGAGTTCTGACCGAGGGATCAGCGTTAAACAAAATCTGTGGATTTAGTGTCAATTATTTACTGTTTCATACAGTTAAATATGCAGTAAATGTATACCTTATATTGTTTTGCCTTTGAATTAGGAAGACAGGTTGGAAAGGAGGAATGTGCGATTTTTTGATTCATAAAAGATCTAAATGTTTTTTTGCGGGGGAGACAGTTAATTCCACAGATGAGAAGAAACTTCTATTTGAAATGCTGCTTCTTATGATGCAGGTTTACATTGAAAAACAAAAGGGAGAAATTCTCGGTGTAGTTATTGTGGAGTCTGGCTGGGGATCGATTTTGCCTACAGTTATCATAGCCAACATGATGCATGGAGGACCAGCAGAGAAGTCTGGGAAACTAAACATAGGGGACCAGATCATGTCAATCAATGGGACCAGTCTGGTTGGCTTACCGCTCTCAACCTGTCAGAGCATTATAAAGGTAGGGTGAATGTTTCTGGATGTTTTACATTTTAAAAGTGCTACAGACGTAACAGTAAGTAGAAAGTATAGAAAAATGTATTATTTATTCATTTCTGTCAAATGTTTGTATAGCACTTCCCATTTCATGTATTACCATGAGCGTGCTTGCAGAAGTACGCTGCAAATCATGCAGCACTTCTTTTCTGAGTCCCAGAAAGGGAGCTGTGATATTTACTTGCGTAGATATGGATTCTATGCACAACTTCAGGCCCTAAGAGAGTATTTGGTTCAAAAGGAATATATTACCGGATGTACGTCTGAAGACACTTAAAACTTTACATGACAAACAGAGACTCAGGTGCCTAGTATTGTCTGGGGCCGTTTTTTGCTGTTTAAATGCCTCCTGGGATCTGACTCAAAGGGAACTGAGTCGTTGTCTTTTTTTTTAAACAATTTAAAATTTAAAAAACTTTGAGTTTAAAAAAGGAAAAAAAACCATACCTATCCTCAGTAGAGACCACCTAATTTATTTGGAAGTGGAATATTTCTCTTAATCTGACTAAATGATATGTTTTACTTATAAGAGCTTTCTTCTAGTCGTCACAAGAGTATATTGTTACAAAAAGCAAGCAGGTCAGCTGGAACTGAAGAATGCCTGAGGTAGCTGCATCATAGAAGGGAATGGATATTTCAACTTCAAAGCTTCAAGAGGCAAGAATTTCACCAGGGAGGGCTGGAGATGCAACTAAATTGAATCCTTGACTGTTTATTTAAATAACCCCACAGAGCTCCTCCACTTCATAGCATATAAACATGTGATGTAATGGTAGTGTCAGACTACACAAAAATCCTTCTCTTATTTCTGCTAATATGCCCATTAAACTTAAATGTATTTATTTATTTTTACTAGTTCCTGCTAGGTAGTTATATTCTGCAATACATTTTTTTTTTTTGCGTTGTGTATTTTTGTAATTCACAAGGTAGGTTTGTATTTGTTGCCTATGGATTAGTTTCTTAGTGCTTGAAATAAGATTTTTGCTGTACAGACTTGCCATTCTGGCTTCCAAAAATATGACTGCTCTGCTCTAAGAAGTAATAGAGGCACAAGTCTCTGAGCCTGTCATTTTAGACTCTGTGATTGCAAATGATACCCTGGAAATGTTGTATATTAAAGCTATGGCAAAGCAGTCTTTCTTTGTGAAGAAGGGAAAAAAATAATCGTATTAAATATGTCTGCGCCACCTTCAGTGGAACAAAGCCCACTGCAAATTCGGGTTTTTAGTGCTACCAGCTTCGCCATACTTGTTTCCTGTCCCACATCAGTTTTATTTCTAAAACTGTGATGAATTTTCAGAGCCTTTTCAGGTAGACTTTTGTTGTGAAGTGGTGAGGATATTCTATACTTTCTCAAAATAAAAACAACCAAAAGGACAGCTTTGCTGTCTCTAGCTTCTAGGGACCTTTGTACTACTTCCTCGCTGATACTTGCGTCTGTTGCCATAGGAACTGCTAGCCATTTATCGTCTCTTTCTAAAGAAAAGCCTCTGTGTTTGCAGGTCTTCATAGCCATAGATCTGGAGCTGTTCATACAGCACTTCAGGATAACAAGTAAACATTTAAACACATTTAAATGTGGTGGAAATATCTCAGGGTTTCAGATTTCTTCAGCGTGCTGCAAAGACTCCTATAAAGAGAGTTTTATGTATATAAGAATATCTTGCAAGTACTTTAAATAAGATTCTTTTCATATTACAGATGCAAGCTGTGCTACTAATTGACCATAAACTAATTATAGACAGACAAAGCTAGGAAGAAACTTTCCACATGTGATAGTTATTCATAATTTTATTATGCTGCTTATGTCTTTTTCAGAAGCATCTGGTGCTGGCTGCTGTTATAAACAGACTCAGGGACGACAAAAGCAAATACTCTGGTCAAACAATGCATTTCTTATGTTTCTGATCAGCATATATTGTTGGCCTGCACAGTGTATAAATTAGCCATTTTTGAAAGATATGTTCTTTCTCTAGAATTAAAAAAAAATCATTAGGGACCACGTTACTTTGTTGGTTTTTTTTTTTTTTAAGAAATACATAAAAATATACTATACATTCTCTTGGAGAAGTAAGAGAGCATTGATGTCATCTGTTTAAGGCATCTAAACTGAGTAAAACTCAAGACAGCTAAAGTTAGACATCTGAATTCCTCTTGGAAAGGAGCATCTCCAGTGCTCTGAACCCTGCTACCCTCCTGGACACAGAAAGGCCCCTCAGACTTCTGAGTACACATCCCACTACAGCTTAGTGCTCATTAATTAGCTCCTGCTTTTTACTGTGTGTGTTGTTGTGAAGACCCACAAAGGGATGATATATTTATCCTTTAGCATGCGTGGAGGGCTGCCAGCTCCAGGAGCAAGTTAAACATGGATGGGTTCATGGGTGAACCCATGTCCCATGGTGGCTGGGACGAGGGGATTCAGTCCATGCCGCTACTGCGAGTGAAGGGGAGGGTTCTCTCCCTGCTGTGAGCTTCACCATTTCGTGTTCACGTGCCTGGTCTCCTCCAACTGCCTTGAGCAACCAGCCGGGCTGGGTTCAGCTCTGCTGGGGCATGAGCACAGTCGTTGTCCATCCAGACAGTTTAATGCAAAGAAAACAGACTCAAAGTCTCTTCACCCTGGCAGGACACCAGCCTGGTGGTTCAAGTCACTGATGAACCTCATTAAGCTCTACAGAACCAGCAGCATGTCAGGACATCTGTGTATTACTATAGCTGCAGTGGGAATTATTTTTCTGAATGAACCTTTGAAATCAGTGTCAGGAAGCCATTAATTTCAGTGAGACCCAGATTCCAACTTCTATGTATAAAATAAGTTTAGAAGTAGGTACTGGAATTGGTAGGTATTCATATAAGGGAAGGTGAAAGTGACTGTGTTCTTGACATAGCATTTCTTTCTTGTTGTGGATTTTACTTATTTTTGAAGGCTTGAGTGCAGCATTTCACAGTGGAAAAATGTGTGTTCAGTCTGTGTTATTAGAAAAAAAATGGAATGTTGGGAGTGGATTTATCTGCAAGGAAGAGTTTTGAACACTTGAAACTGTGTAATAGGTCAAACTGCAGTCATTTTTGCTTTTGGATTTGAGTTTTCACAGAAGCGTACAGCCAGATTTGCTGAGGCCATCAGGAACCACTGGGGGTCATGTAGTGTAGCCCCTGCAGGAGCAGGGGGTCAGCTGCAGTAGGTTGCTCAGCAGGTTGCTGTGTCCACTCTGGGTGTGAATCCTTCCAAGGATGAAGACACCACAACCTCTGTGGGCCGCCTGTGCCAGTGTTTGAACACCCTCACAGGAAAGCAAGTTTTTCCTCCATTAGTTTTCTTCTGGTAGCAGAGTTCATAACAAATGTGATGTACCTAATTTAGAGGGGAGAAGAAAAGGGAATTAGGAGCACTGCTCATATAAGTGTTATATGAGGAGGACCTTCTGTTACTTGACAAAATTTTATATATCCCATTAGGGAAGCTACTTGTAACTCTCTTAGCTACATATTTAGAATTTCATTTTCTAGCCACAAATCTTTTTTTTTTTTTTTTTTGGTCAGCTACGTAGACCTGTTTCATATTTGTGTGCATGATTTGTGTTTTGAAGTGAAGAAATTGCCAACAAGATACAAGATTTGTTAAAACAAATGTCCACTTTTTGGCAGGAAGAGTTTGGTATTGCATTGTTCATTTCACTGAGTGTCGTCGTGCTTGTGTCTGGTATTCAGTGATCCTGTTCTGTTATGATGCATACAAAGCGCTGCTTATTCAGGGCTGTTCCCATGTCAGCATTTCAACAATCGTTTTTCCCAGTGTCCATGTTAAATGTTTTGCCCTGTCTTTGCCAGCATTTTTCATGGTGATTTGTTTTTGCAGGGTTTGAAAAACCAGGCCCGGGTCAAGCTAAACATAGTTAGGTGTCCTCCAGTAACCACGGTCTTGATCAGGAGACCAGACCTCAGATACCAGTTGGGCTTCAGTGTGCAGAACGGGATTGTAAGTCACTTCTAGACTATCTGGGGAAGCTTTAACCTATGTGAAACTTCTTGTTTACGTGTGGCAAAGTGAGGAGAATAAAGCTGTCCTTTCCTCCTTTGCTGCAAGGAGGACTTAGTGCATGTGTTAAGACTAAGATACAAAAGCTGAGTTGGTTATAGAGTTATTCTCTTCTCCTTGGCCTTCTGCTTACTTCACAAGCTTTGTAGTCAGTCAGAAGAGCAGAAAGGTCGTTTTAGGTTAGAGAAACAAAACTATGTGGTTGAGGCTATTTTCAGTCTGCAACTTTCATGTCTCTAACCAAGTCATTGTGCGGCCTCAAAAGAAAGATGCTGTCCTTGTTCTCTTGTAAGGCAAGGCGTCTGCATCCTGAACGTGGTTAAACTGTGGCCCTTCATGCACTCAAACGAAACGCACCTGAAGTACAACTCAAACAGCCTCTTCTGACAGTTTCTTTTGCTCTTGAAAGAGAATGTACAGTAGTTGCTCTGTCACTAACAAATTTTACTTTGAATCAGCGATCCATTACATTTTAGACTTTGTTGCAAGCACATGTATTTAAATACTGAGTTACAATTGGTAGGCAAAAATGGGTAAACTAAAGCCTCTCTTCCATATCCAGGCGTTGATAAATTTGTCCTTTTCTTACCAGATCTGTAGCCTTATGCGAGGAGGTATAGCAGAGCGAGGAGGTGTGCGTGTTGGCCATAGGATCATTGAAATCAATGGACAGAGTGTTGTAGCAACACCCCATGAGAAAATTGTTCACATTCTCTCAAATGCTGTTGGTGAGGTAAGAGTGTGCGTTGGCAATATTATGTATTTCATCATCGTTATCTCTTCTGGGCTCTTGCTAATCAAATCTAAATAGTGGGAGTGAGACTAAGGAAAGCCTACCATTTCTTTTATATTATTTGCCTGTAGTTCTCGTATGTTTTAGAAGCACCCCAATAAAAGGTGTTAAGTGCCTACAACTTTAGACAGTTGATTGATGCTCATCAGTGTTTCATAAAATCATCAGCCTGTTGATAGTGTAACAGCAGTATGAAAACTCTCAAGTCTGTGCTGTGGGTAGCATGTGTGGCAGGAACATGGATTAACTTGCCTTATTTTCTCTAGATTCATATGAAGACTATGCCAGCTGCCATGTACAGGCTGTTGACTGCTCAGGAGCAACCTGTTTACATCTAAGGCCGACACCTCACCTTCACGAAGTGCATGGAGGATGTTTTTCTTCGTTAGTGCTTGTGTCTCTAGTGCTGCATTTTTGTGTCTGCAGAGACATTTTTTTTCTCTCTCTTTCTCACACACACACACGCGCGCGCGTGCTCGCTCGCTTGCTCTCTCTCTCTCTCTCTCTCTCTCTCCTTTCCTCCCTCCCTTCCTCCCTCTCTTTTTCCCCCATTCTGCACCATTTCCCTGTTTATGGGAAAAGGGGAAGATATACTATTTTGGTTACATCCCCTTACAAGAGAAGCTTTATGCAGTTCCACACGCAGAATAGACAAACAACAGCAGCAGCGTTCACAGCTGGGTTCACAAAAAGGATTAACTGTACTTCATGCTATGTAGTCAGTTTTAGTTACGTGGCTATGATTTGACAACACGAGTAATTGTTGCTAAAAGAAAGCTGACTTTACCACATAGATACAATCATAGGGTAAAGTGCTCTCTTGGACACCACGCGCGTGACTCTGCTTCTCTTCCACTATTTCCCTGCAGGCACTGAGCTCAGTGTTGACGTTTAATATCCGTAGGGAGAGTAGAATACCAAAAGGGTAAGTTTCATCCTCAGTGAAGAATTACCTGCTTATGAAGAATGAGTAAATGCCGCTATGGTAAAATTATCCAAATGCACACCTTTTAATTCCCCTCTATCATCAGTTTTTCAGGATAATAGAACTCCAAAAGGTACTCTGGGACTTGCTGAAATGTGTTACAATTGCATTACTTACACCAAGTAATTTAGGGGGGGCATCTTTTGCAACTGCCCCTCCCTGCCCCGGTTTTTTATCTCTAACTTTCTTCTGCTTTGTTTCTAAATGCAACATGTCTTTTATAGTCCCCTGCCGATTTTAGAAGTTCAGTGACGTGGGGAGGGGAGGATCTAAGTATCTACAAAAGAAATAGTGAGGGGCTTTCCTGAATAGCTACACTTTTTCTAGGCTCTTACTTCCAGATTTGGTGCACACAGCCCAGTGTGCCAGTGTATATAGACATTTTTAAAATTGTGCTTGCTATTTATGAAGTTTGAGGATAGGAGATCTGCATACCTTTCTAAGTAATTTTGTTCTCTGAGCCAGTTTGAACATATATTTTTGTCCAAAGACTTGCCTAATTGTATCGACTTTTTCTTTAGTTTATGGCGTAGATAACAGTGGGAGAGATAAGGTGGGGATAAATTTATTTATTTTGTTATGTAAGTTAACTTACGCTTTTTTTTTTTTTCCATGTGTATGACACTTACAGGATATTTGTGTGTACTATAGGCACTTGTATGAAGAAGATACACTGTAGGTATAAATGAAATCTAGGATCTGATTGGCCTCTAAGTTGCATGCTATAAACGAAAAGGGGGGAAAGGTTTTGTTGTTGTTTCTTGGTTTTGTTCTTTTAAAAGGCAAAGGCTCTTTTTCCAAGCAAGAGGAAAAAGTCTCTGTCCTCTATGGTTACATTTCACCAGGAGTGCGTGCTGATGTTTCCACCAAAATTGAAACAGGCGTTTAGACCTGACAAAAGCCCTGTTTGTTGTTTGTTTGTTTTTTTGAAATGAACAGTTTCTGCTGTGTCTTGCTGTGATAGAAAGGCTCAGTGAGATGCAAACAAGGGCTGGACAGCCATGTGCACACAAACACACACATGCACACATTCCAGCCCTCTATTTTGAAAATGTGGTTATGGTCGTAGGCATTGGTTTCTCAGTTATTGTGGGGTGGACTGTGCAGTATAAGCATTGCTTGCAGACCAGTAATGGTACCTAGAGAATTCTCCAGAGATTCATGGATATGGATGTGTGTATGTGTGCCTGTTTGTGCACGTGTGTACGTGCACATTTTTGTTGGTGAGAGCCACAGAGCACTCACTTGCCGTCTGTTGCCAGAGGTCCTTTTTTGGCTTTCAGAAATTGTAAAATGCATGGGCTAATCAGAGAGAGAGAATGAACTTTGTATTTCAGTGGGCAGTAAATATTTAAGGAGGTGATGGAATGGTGCATACGCTATTGTAGTCAGTGAATATGTTTTAGTGTGAGATTAACGTGCAGTGACTTGATTTACTGCAGTTCTTGTCGTTACATAATTTAATCCCAATCTTGGAATAGCAGATTGCACAAGAGAGTGGTATTAGTTACCTCTGCTACCAGACTGATGCAAATAGATAGTGAATGACTTGTGTGTATATTGTTTAACTGTAGACATTGGTTTATGATGATCATTTGAACTTTTTTCAGAACCTTCCATATATATATAGTAATATATGTAAATATGATATATCAACTGTGTACAATTTAGAAGACTATATACAGCGCAGCCTTTACATAAGTTGCCTGAGGAAACTCAGCGAACTCTTGAAGACACAGTTATCATGCTTCTGATTCCTGCTACGTTTACACCCTCAGCTTCACTTGTTGCTTTTGTGGTTCTGTCCAACTTGCGTGGCAGGGTCTTTAATTCACTTCACTGGGTGATGATGGAGACCTAAACATGCAAAAGTACTTAGAGATGATACAACTGTTTGTTTGAAAACAAGGCTATTATCTTGGCAATCAAGTTTGTGCTTCCTTATATGCGCCTCAGTGCTTGCCCAGTTCCCTTCATGGTAAGTTGCATATAGGTGCCTACCATTAAGGGAGCGAATACTTGCAGGTTCAGAGCCTGGCACAGAGTCTTAGTTATTCCGATCACATCATCTGCGTAAGATTTCTGTGCTGGGAGATCTGTAGTGTGCATACGCTCCTTTTAAGAAAAGTGAGCTCAAAAGGGAGAGCTGGCACTTCTCTGGAGTAGTGCAGCATTTTGTTAGATTACATATGTGAATTCTTAATGGATTCAGAGGAACAAACTGCTATTTTACATTCCTTCTTCAATGACAGGCCTGAAATTCTCCTTTCCTTCCTCACTGCTTCGTACATTCTAATGAACTCTTCAATGTTTACATTAAGGATGAAGAATCCTTTACATTTTTTTTATTGGCAAGTTTCATACTGTTTTTTTTTAATCTTGTTCAAATTTGTTGAGACTTCCAGATTTGTTTGCTGTCTTTTGCTTTTTTTCTAAATTAAAAAATACGTTTCTGAAGATGGCAATGTCGTTGAGATCTCTTGTACATATTTAGCACAGTACCTAGAATATGAAGTACTATTGTTCTGTAAAGAGGGTGAATAGAAATTATTGTAAAGCGTTGGGAAAAGTATAGTATTGTATTTGTAACAATATTGTTGCCTGGAATGTTGATACTGCACATCTACTGAATGTAATTCCTCTGTTTTTTGCCACAGGTCTCTGACCTCTGTAATGAAGCTGCAGTGGTTTGATTTGGGGGAGGGAGTGGAAGAGGAGTTGGGTTTTTTGTTGTTATTGGGGGGAGGGGGTTCTGGCCAGCTATTTTGTTGTGATGTATTTCCTGTGCTACATTCCTTTATTTAACAGAGCGCTAATGTCTGTAATATTTGCAACAATAAAATACAAAACAAAAATACCTCAGATGAGGCTGAGAGTTTGCTGATACTACTCTGGGATTTGGCTTGCCAATACTGAATGCATGAAGGTATTGGTATGCTTGGAAGGTATTTGAATTTCTCTTTTTTTTACGTAGTTTGGCGTAATAGTATACATGTGTTTGCAGATGTGAACCAATGCCATTAACTTTATTTTTAAAACAGCATTATTTTCAGGTAATAGATGAGACAACTGCTCCTAAATGAAACTGCTCCTCCACATCTGAAGTTGCATCCCAGTTTTTACTGTGTGAACTATCATCATGTTTGAGTCTTCCTTCCACATGACAGAAAGATTATTTCGTTGTCTGAATAATCTTAAACATGTTTTTTTCATAAGTGAGATTTTACTAAAAAGATTTTTGCCATATTACCATTTCTGAAGCTGTTGTTTTCCTTCCAGGGTCTTCAGTATGATTTATTCTGAAAGACCTATCAGAATTTGAATAAAAATGGTTTAGAATTGTAGTATGCCTGGCCTTAGCATAAACTGTGGGACTGCCTGTGCTAAAGTCGAAAAATATTTGTATGATCAGAGACTGACTATGCCCAACATGATAGTATTTGAAAGTCAGCTAGCGAAAGCCAGTAAAGGTGTGTTTCTTCATGTAAGGTCTCTGTGCACCACAGGTTGTCATGAGAACTTTCAATCTACAGAAAAGAAAATATGTACCATACTTGATCCAGAAGAAAATTGAACTTGGACCTTCAGGCACCAAGTTGCTCATCATAACGTGAAATACGCATATTGCCAAAATAGGGAGGAGAAGTGCATTGTAACTGTTCATATTCTTTGCTTAAGTGGTAGATTGGAAAATCTCCACTTGATTTTTGTTTTTGGTTCTTTCAGTTAGGCAAGAATAAAGTCCCACTATTAAATGAGAAGGTTACTGGAGCAAAAGAGCAGAGAACTTCTTCCAGACAGTTTGTATTTTAATTACAGCTTACTAACTAACAAAGAGTCTCATTTTATAAAACATAGTTATAGAACACTGAAGAGCAGTTCTTACTGAAAGCATGTTTTGTACCTGAGTGTCTGTATGCATTTAAACCATATTACTGATGAGTTGCGAGGGTCTTAAATCTTGCTGGTGGCTACTGCCACAAGAAGTGGGTATGATTCCTGCACAGCTTACCAAACTTAAGAGCCAAGAAACTTTTTCCATTGAGTAACTTAAAGTGGGAGCATAAGATGCCTAGATTGCGCGTGTGCATCCCTCGTAGATCTTTTTCTTCTTCTTCTTAGACAGCGTAAAAACCATGGAACATAGACTCCGCTGGCCTCAGCCATAGCTTAGGTGTAATAGTCATAGTTTGTTGAAGAAACTGTTGACTTAGAGCCTAGAGTAGTGATGAGATTGGTCAAGAGTTATGTATAAAGTGATTATGCATGAATCAGTATACTGACCTTTCTGAGGGAGGGCAGCAGCAATTCTTAAAAAACCGAAGCATCTTAACAGCCAGCGTGTTCTCCTCTGAGCTTTGTACTACCGTAACGGCAGCACATATGGGAAGGAAACTATGGTTTGTACTTAGAGGTTGATTATTGTTGTAAAGCTCAACCTTAAGTACTGCTGTTTTTGTAGTACGCTCTAGAAGTGACTTTTTTTTCCCTTTGCTAGTATAATGTTTTTGGATACCCCGTTTTCCTTTGCTGCTGGCCACCTGGTGTGACTCTTCTCTGAGAAATCTCCCCCATCAGCTCTCTAGATTTTTTATTTGCAATATGGAAACCTAATATTTATTGTAAGTGTTTCTATTCTGGGTCAGCCAAACAACATAAGATATGGTTTATGCTGATTCTGCTGCTTTCACAGTAGCAATTTCGTGCAGTATTTATCCCCACTGGATGTTTGTAGAGATAACTGAAGTAAGACATCAGAGAAATGGCTCTGAATCCTGAGCAGCTGGCTAAAAAGCTTGTGCCCTGTCCTTCCACCACTCTGTCATTTCTGGTAAGTCTGAACGCGCGTGTGTATTTGGGCAAGGGGAATAGGGGCTGTAAGAATGACTTCTATAGATGTAAACTGAAACCAGATACAGGTATTTTTGCACTTTAAGTCCATCCTTCATGCTTATACTTATTGCGCTGATGTTGTTCTTATCTTTTCTTTACCCTCTCACAGTCTGTATGTCCTCTGCATTTTCTTTCCTGCCTATTCTATCGCATACAAGGTCTTCCATGGCTTCTGCGAATTTCTCTGCCACGTGAGAAGGTGTCTATTTTGCTCCTTCTCGTGAAGGGCTTCCTTAGACAAGACTGCAGAAGTTCAGGGGACCTGCCCTGGCATCAGAGGAAGACATACGGCATGACAGATAGCACTGAATATCGCGTCCCCCTTTTTTAGAATGAGGTGGTCTGGGGCAAAGAAGGCAGCTTCTCTCCCACTAAAAAATTTTCATTGCTCTGACTAGTGGCTTTTTCACTGGACAAAAAAGTTGGAGGAAGACTGGCATGGCATCTGTGTTTCAGAGGGTGCTGTTGGTGAAGGGAGAGTGTTTTTCGTTGGTTCTGAAGACCACCTGGAAGGGAAATGAGACTGCGTTTGCAGGTGTGTTGGAGGGGAGAAGTTCTCTCTTGAACATAACGTAGCTCATAAAGCTGATGGGTTAATGTTCAGGAAAAAAAAAAGTGCTAGGGGGAGACTGGTTCTAATGAAAGATTTGCACAAACTTTTTCTTGAAGGGAGAGGGGGGGAAACCTTAAGGAAATGAAAACAATTCTGTTGCTGAAGGCCGCACTCTCACCTACCTTATACAGGTTGTAAGCAGCTTTTTTGCAAAAGCTTGTGCACAAAAAAATCCATGCTAATGAAGACTGACGTCATGCCAGTTTGGCGCAGTATAAAATTGTGATGCTAAGGTTAGCTGCTAGACATCTTGTACCACTTGAAACTGCTGAATGTTTTAGAATTGTTGAAATAGTATTAAATGTGTTAAGAGTCCTTTTTATTATCTCTTGCTAAGAGTCCAATTATGACAGAAAAAGAAAGCCTGGATATGCTACTTCTAACTCTGTGTGTCTCTGCCTTAAGCTAACTTAATTTACACTTGCTATATCAATCATTTTGGATTATTGTTAACTCACTTTTTTCCAAGACTTGCAATTTTATTGTTGTTCTGTCTAATACTGGTAGAGAAATCTAATGTGTATCTTGGAAAATGACTTAGTTTGCAACAGGATTATTTTGTGGTGGACTTGCTTCCTATCTACTAGTATTTCCTGCTCTCTGGATCACTGTGCCAAAGAATAGTAATAGTCCCCTGTCAGAAATGGGGTTGTAAATTCATGACAGTCAAGCTGTGGGATTAGGGACTGTGGTTCAAGGAGCTGGGTGCTAGCAGACAGAATGGATTATTATAATTCTCCTTTTCTACACACTAATTTTAGAAAGGGAACGATAAAGTAGGAAAAGGAAGCTGATATGCAAATCTCAAGAGCCCTAACATACGTGCTCTACCAGACATGAAAAATAAAACGCCAATTTCAGAGTAGAGATAAACATTTTATTTTATTCAATTGTCGTCTTTCATGAGTCAAACTGCATGAACAGTTTCTCCTTCTGAACAAGCTTAATTAAAATTCACTTTAAAGCTTTTCGTTTTTCAGTAGGCAAGCTGCTTAATAATTGTTAGATGAAGCTTTATCTTAAAGCAGGAATATTTAGTTGTCCTGCTGAGATGCGGAAGGTTACAACTAGCTTTGGAAATAAAAACTGTGTGCCTGATCCCAGCCTCTGGAAACACTTAGTGTATTCCAAGTTAGCAGCATACGTACAGAATAGAGCTTGACATACTAGCTGCAGTCAACAGCTTGAGTCAACTGGCTTATGTGTTTATGTAGTAGCCAGGGAGTGTCAGCTCATGGGTCACTTTGGCCTAGTGGTTAAGGTTGCCAAAACAACATCAGGTAGTTATCTGCATATTTGCAGAGGATTTGAGATGGCTGCAGAAATTCTTTCAGCGTGGATGGCTGTTGATATGTAGGAAGCACCTCTACTAGGAAGTAAATTGCTAAAAAGCTACAGTAATTTAGAACATACAAAGACAGGCATTGACTCTGGCCTGTATTGTTCAGTGAGATACAAAGTGCATGCATGCGTAACTGTTCTTGCCTCACCTCAGCTAAACCAAGGCATAGAATCATTCTACCATCTCTCTTGTAAATTGAGTATAAAAAACAAATCCATCCTAAGTGATGATGGACTACAGAGGCGCAAAAGAACAGTATTATATCACAAACAGAGTAGTTGCACCGGAATAGCCCAGTTTAAAGGCCAGCTTGGAATCTGATTAAGAGCTTTTGTAGAGTGAGCTTCCTCTTAGGAGTCTGAGCAGGAGGGTATAAAAATGGATTAGCGACATACTCTTCCACGTACTTCTCAGAGATGATTTTTTCTGTTCAGCAAGCATGTTTGACAGAAATGCTCTGAGGAATAGAGAGAAACCAGCTCACAATACAGTTTCCCTTACAACTCCAATAAGACTGTGAGGCCGTTCATGTTCTAGTCCCTGGATCCTTCTTTCTTCTAACTGACTTTCAGCTGTTGTAAAAGTACTCAGATCACCACAGCTCTCCAGGTGCAGCAGTCCAGGATGCTGTCTAAAAGGTTGCACGTATGCCCTTGATGACGTTGCTTGCTGGGCAGGTGCCATCACCTTTAAGAGGAAAAAAAAAAAGTAAAATCAGGTTTGTTTTGGGGTTCCTTTTCCATTAAAATGGCTTCTTACCCAATACAAAAGGCTAGTTGGAGTGCTGCCTACTTTTAAAAAAAAAAAAGAAAAAAGGAAAAAAAAATCCAAGTGATGCCCCATTAATTTTGAGCAAGTCACTGGTATTTGCTAAGGAGGCATGGGAAAAGCAGTCCCACGGGGAAAAACATTGAGTGTTGTCATTCCTCACCTTTTCTTTCATAGAGGCTGCACAGGAATTAGCTCACCCCAAACCAGGCTATGTCAGTTACTGTTTAATGGGAATCCAAATGTTACTTCCTGAAAAGTCACTGAATTTTAACAAGCTTCAGGCTAGCGTGATAAAACTGCCCTGAGGCAGGTTTAAGACACTCATAAGGAAATGTGTTTCAGCTACTTTTGTCAAACTATTTGATGCTCCTATTGACAGTAGGCTGCAGTGGAAAATCTCACTTGGTTTCTAGAAACAAAATTAAAATTTGAGGGTTGTGTGTGAAAACTCAAACCAAAACCAGCTGTCACCGCAAATTGCTTGTACTGTGCTATCAAACAGATACATTTGAATCAACCCGTCCTTCCAAATGCTCTGAATGTCACCCAAACATTTAGTGCAGACTTTGTCTATCTGAACTTCTGAATATTCATTCCACTAACGTAAGCACATTATTTTCTACTTTCTGCTTTCTTCCTTTAGTAATAGGTCATAAATGTATTGCACAAAAAATTGCTTCTAGTGGGTTTTGCATGAAAGTGTTCTTGTCAGCCTCACTTCTTCCAGCTTACAATTATAAAAGCTTTGTAATGTCTCTTGCTTTTCCCCTACCATAGGTGGTATGTCATGCTTTTTACAATTCACGATTACACCACACAGGACTGTCTCCTTCAACTTTAAAGTATGCATGGTGTTCACGCTTTCTTTTGAAAAACACTGCTGGCCCTGTGGGACATCATGGCAGCACAGCCTCTTGTATTTTCCCTCTATGAAGCCAAAATAATAGTGAAGCTAAACTGGGCTCAAAATTTTGAAATGCAACATACATACATTTGGAAATGTTCACTCCCAAACCAAGGCCAGCTTTGGTTTTCCACATCATCCTGAATACAGTAATAAAACTACCTGCTCAAGAAAGGTGGCACTGGTGATAGCTTCCGCCATGTGTTCTTCATCTGATTTTAAAACAGACTTGATACTTTCCAGCAATTCATGTATGTCAGGGGTCATGCTGCAGGAGGACTGCCCCAGGAAGCGTGCCACAAGCAGCTTAGTGTCTATGTAGGACTTATAGTCTATCAAAGACTGGGGTCTTGCTCTCAAAGCTCTTCCTCTCAAACTCTTCCGCAAAGTGACAGTATCAAGTTCTGGTTTTAATTCAGTCTGAGTTGCAGCTTCACAGCTTAGCGCTGGACCTAAAGACAAAAATCAAAGTAAACAATTTACTTGGTTCACACATCTTGTGGGATTTCAGTACTGATTCAGTGATGATTTAGTGCATAGTTAGGTCTTACTTGGGTTAAGTCTGGCACAATCAGGGTGGCAGGTGTCCCTCAGTCTATCTGTACTGAATTTACTTATTGGAGAAAAAGCTTGTAAGATAGAGTAGTACGTAGCTATGGGTGAATGCATATCATATGTCAAAAAGAAACAAAAAGAGTCTGTAGGAACATCTTTGTACAGGTGAAGTTTGCCATGTGCGTACATCAGTTCCCTTCTCTTTCGCTTCTGTTTTGCTGAAATATGAGCATTTAGCATTAATGTTAACATAAGAGTCATTCAAGACACGTTGACAATAGTTTGCTAGGTTTTATGATCACTCCTAAACTGTATGTAACTTTCCGTTATTATCAGTCAAGAGGGCTGGTTACAAACTAGCTGGAAATAATTTCTTCTCAAGCTGGAAATCAGTAATATTAAAAAGTGGAAGTTCACTGACCAAAAAAAAAAAAAATCCATTCCAAATGACTTCTTTGGGAGGGCTAAGCAAGGGGTGGCAGGGAATGCAGTCCACTGCCTTTAGCCTACATAGAGGTCGTTACTGTTAAATAGATTAATAAATAAAAGGACCTACAAATTATTCAAGTAGCTTTTTAATGATGGCATTATGCCAAATACAACAACAATTCTAGGAAGAGAGCCAAAACTTCCCTGTAAGAGAGGACAAACCAACTTGAAGCAACTTCCCTTGTTAAAGCAGCTCACTTCCATTTCTGCAGCAGCTGTGTATTTCCCTTTCAGGTCCAACGCTGAATAGACTTAATCTCAATTATACATTAAGCCTAAAGGGCCCAATTGCTTCTGATGGATGGATTCTGCCTACAACAGAAACACCCAGCTCTGTTTTCACAGCTATAAATAGGCTCTGCATCATTTAACTACTGCTTCAGCAGCAGCTTCTGTGGGGGACTGTGGTGGAAGTTGATGAGGAACAGAGAAAAAGCATGACACAACAGAGAGATTAAGATATTCCACAAAATAGTAAGTGTAATCCAGACATATATGTTCTTAATCTTCAAAATAAATACTTGTTACTAACATGTCCCCTCTTCACTTAATTTCTGAGTGCTAAAAAAAAAAAATGTATCAGCAGCTACTGTAGGGATTCCAAAGCTCTCTAATAAGACTGTAGGACTCTGACTGGATTTTTTTAAGACTGACAAAAGAAAAAAGAGTGGGCCAGCCACACTAGCAGTTTTCCCATAGCAACTGAATTGGATCATATCCCCCCCCCCACAAAGTAATTATGGCAAACCTCACTGGATGTCCACTGTGGGACTTTCTTTGGCTTTTTTTTTTTTTTGGGGGGGGGGGGTGCTATGAAGGGAGAGAAAGGTGATTCAAATTTAGATGCTCATACTCAAGCTAATTTTTTACTTTCAATTGCTTGTATCAACACATGCCCTTGAGTGGTTTTTTTACTATAAAAATGTACTGAAAAATCCCAAGTTTTATTTCTTCCTCATCCCCCAAGTAAGTAATACCTAATACAGACCCTGTGCTGAGCTGTGAAAGCCTAAAAGGAAGCTGGGCTAAGACTGGGGAAAGAGAAGGATATGACAAAGCAAATTGTTTGCTCTGCTATAGCAAACATTTGCAAATATTGTTGGGCGACAATAGTTGATTTTGGCGCTTTGTAGGGTTAAGGTACTACATTTTCTGGTATATGTCCTTGTTAGAATTCGTTATGTAAAAGCATTGATGATACAGAAAAATCAAGTCACCTTGATGCAGCAGGCAGTGCAGCACAGGGTCACTTTTGGACCGTTTCTTTAGAAGAGTGAAGGCTCTCTTGTCTGCAGATGCTGGGTTTGCATTTGAAGGTGAAAGGCTCACTCTGCTGGAAGACTTAGGAATTTCTTCACCTGAGTAATCAGGAATAGTAAAGATGAAGTAAAAGTAGTTAAAGCAGAGCATTAAAATAAAGATTTGCTTGAATTCCTTTTGTGTGTTTCACCTTTCCAGTTAATCAACACTCCTAATTTTCCTTAAAGTGAAATTATATGCTGTGATACAGGCAATTTCCTTTTAGTGAATAGCTGGGTGAAGCCACTTATTTTTCCTCAAGTTTAGTTCCATACTTCCATCTGATGGCACCTGGCATCTTTCTTACAAGGAAAAAAAAAAAAAAAAAAAAAAAAAAAAAAAAAAAAAAAAAAAAAAAAAAAAAATTCTTTTTTTCTTATGCAAAAAAAAGCAAAATTAGGGTCAATAATCTCTTATACAGAACGCGGAAAGTGTTTGTCCTATTATACCGAACAGAAAAGCAGCAGTGACTGAAGTATCTATGAACATTAAGTAAGTCCTGGGAGATGTGTGCTCATTTAGTGAAGTACCTTATCTCTTACTTACTTAAATACAACCTAGAATCTCTAAAAGGTAGACACAATGACATAACCTATATAAAGCAGTTTCTAGCCTGGAAAGTTGAGGTAAGACCTAACAACAAAGCATGGCAAGCAGGACTAAAGACACTAGAACCATCGCTGTACCTTCAGTAATGCTGGTGGATTTGTGCTAGCTATCAGTCCTTGAGGTACAGTGGTACTACTGTTCCGGGATTCTTGTTTTTACTGCTAAACTGAAGAATTAATTAGATTTCATGATCTTATGCTAATTCTTCATAATGTTTCATATGTTAAGAGGGATAACAACTGGCAAAAAAATTGCATTTTCCTTCTGTGGGATGATCTAGGGCAGCTGCCAAGCATTCTCAGCCATCAGCAGCTGGTTGGATGTGTTCCCACCACATTCAGCAGGGAAAGTCCCATTTTCTTTGACAGGAGTGCTTTTGACTCTCCCAGTTCTGCTGGCAGTGGGTAGCTTTAATTTATTTCCAGCAGGAGCTGAACACAGTGGATCAGGCCTGATGATGCCAAGGGAATCATGGAGTACACAAATCCCCTGGCACTGCAGTTTTACCACATAAACCATGCAAACAACGTTCAGCCTTTATTTATAGACTGTTATTTTCCACTAACTGAGAGAGCCCATGAAGTTGCGCTGCTGTGATTCTAGCACGCCTCCTCAATTTCTGTGTCCTTCCCAATTCATTGTCCTTGAAAAAACTTCACCCTTCAGTAAAAGCAGCGCTCATTTTTGTTATTAGGCTAAGAAGAAAAGAGCAAGAGAGCTAATACCTAGCACTAGTCACTAAAGTAGTTGAAGGCTTAGGCTGCAGCCAAGGCCCACCGCAGCCTGTTTTTTTGCAGAACAAGGGAATATCCTAACCATTGCAGATGATAACAGTCACAGAGGTAACCTAAATAAACCCCTCCCAGTGACAGTACCAACGGACCACAATAAAATGAATAAGAGAAGTTGCAAGATTGGTTAATAGGGACCAGACTATGTGGGAGGAGTTTGTGTTTGGGTTGCAAGGGGATAAATAGAAGCAAGAACCTGCAACTGGGGTCCCTCCTTGGAGCCACCCAGCTTAAGCTGTAGCTCTATTCTGCGTAACAAACTTTTTTTGTTTGTTTGTTTAGACAAATATTTGATGTTTAATTGTGAACATAAGCAGAGACCAAGGGTCAGAGCAAGGCGGTTAAAGATGGCAGCTGTGTAATTCCTGCAATCGTCCAGGTGGTAACAGCGTCATGCCTGCTGTAAGAGGTGAGAACTGTGTAATTCCTGCAACATCAAGATGCTTGCTTTCTTGTTGTATTTGAATTTAGCAGCCATGCTAACTTTTAAATGGCTTTTTACAAACCATTGAAGGGGGAGACAAAGCAGTTTAAAAGAGAGGGAGAAGAGGGCATTTTATCACATGAGCTCAGTTCTGCTTGCTTATGTCTCTCTGTGAAGGAAGTTTTTCAATACAACAACACCTCATCACAGCTTTATTTATATATATTTTTAAGAGACTTTGGTTCTCAACAGTTGCCTCTTCTGTAGTTTTCCTGGTTTCTGTTCTTAACTTTAACCACTCATCACGTAACCCAGATGTTTGATATCCTTTTTCAGTTTGTAGTCAAAGTGCCCAGAGAAAGCAACAGTAGTTTTAGCTATGAAAGGGTTCTGAGGATTAAACTTTGCACTGTCACTCTTCTGAATTTCTTTCTGGGCATCGCAACTGATGGGAAATTAGAAGCATCCAAATGCTTGTTTTCAGAGTTTCAGGCAAACTGGTTTCCTTACAAAGGAAATTTAAAAGAAATGTTACTTGATTAAAGTACAGCTTTATGGCAATCAACTTTTTTTTTTCCCGGTCATCACTTAGTAGGGCCATTTCAACTGATAAAATTCACACCAAAGTTTTCCTACAGTTTGTCATAAAAGTCTGCAGAAGTGAAGCCATGGCCAAATAACGGTTTGGGTTTTTTGTTGTTTTGGGGGGTTTTTTGGTTTTGTTTTTAATATCTGTCTTTCTTTACTTTCTGTATCCTTATGTTGTGAACATTGTGCAGCAGGGGCACAGCCCTCTTCTGCACAAAGGACAATCTGCATTGTGATAGCAAATTAAAATGAAGATTAGAGTAGAACAGATGTTCCTGTTCACCAGGGCTGTAGGAGAAAAGCTGCCTGTTGCTCACCTGGAAGCCAGCTATGGTTTAAGTGCAAGCGTACACCACAACAAATGAAAAAGCAAGGCTGAAAACAACTCAGAATGATTTCCATGGTTTTCTGAAACAATGCTGAGCAACGTTTAGTCTGGCCTCTACTTGTAGTCTAGCCATATCCTGTACCAGTAGGTGGACACTCAGAAATTCTTCCAGTGCAGGCTGGATAACAGAGGAAGTCTCATATTCAGAAGCTCAACACAGCATTACTTTTTCCTTTTTTTATTTTCATCAGTAATCTAAAGTCAACAGGCACCATCACGTACACAAAACAGAATGGGAGCGCTGGAACCGGACATCATTTCTTTCAAAAGGAAAACGTGTTTCCATCTCAGTTATCGGCAAGATAGTTGCTCTCTCTAAGTCTGTACATTGTATCTTTAAAACAAACAACTTTTTTGAATTTTAGAGCTCACTCTCTGTTCCTACTACCCCGAAACAATCACAGTTCTGTATCTCTGGCTTGTAGTATGGTGGCTGTCTTTCAAATAAATAATAACGCTGCTGCTGTATGAAGTCAGTTGGATTGCGTAGAACTGTTTTAAAACAAATTTTAAAATGCTCTTTTACCTTGAGAGGCCTGCCTATCACTTGTGTCCACAGAATCAGCAGCAACTTCTACCACACCTACTTGTAGTGTATCTTCCTAGAATAAAATAAAAAAGTTGAAAATACAGTCATCTTTTTCTTAGTACTTTTTAAGAACTGCAGCATCCTCCTTATAAAGTGATACGCTTTGCTTTCCTGCAAAATGCCTTTGTACTTACTTAATTCGATTGCAATACCAAGGCTAGTGAATTTCTAAAATAAAAAATTAAAATTAATTTCCATCATCCAGATCAGCCAATTTTATCTATCTTGCCGAGTATTCTCTGGAAAAAAGTACCTCTCCTGAAAACACCAGTAAACATGGATCAGAAAGTGAAGAAAAATGTGGTCCCATGTAAGGGGAGTGTAGGTGCAGAAGGAAAGTAAAGCAAGGAGGTAGCACAACAGTCCTACAGAATAAGCGGCAAATGGTGTGCTCCACTCTGTATTTTGTTCCGTCTCCCATGGTCAGATACAGTTTTTCCTCCAGGCATCTTTCATGACACCTAATTAGGAAAAGCTCTTTAACTGTAAAGGTAACTTACTTACTGACTTAAATCTTTAGTGACATTTACAGTGATATCAGATATGTAACCAAACGTATTCTGCTATTCTTAAATGAAAAAAAAAGAATACTTAATGGACATTCACTTTACGCAACTTTACCCTTAGAGCAGAAAAACAAGATTATGCCTCCTGGCTCTTATGGACTATACCTGTTCACAGCTGATCCGGCTCACCACAGCATCATAAGGAGGAGGTGGATCCAGAGGGCAGAACACTTCAACTCCTTTAATTCTAGCTCCGTAAATATGTGGTAACGGAATCACATCAGAGCCAAGCATCCTAGGATAAACAATACTGAATTCGTATGTTTTAAATGTTTTAAATTCAGATACAGCTACATAGCAACTGGCAGACCTAAACCAAGTCTACTTTTGTGATGCTTAGTGAAGAGTATTACAGTTAATCAATTTGCAGAGGCATGTGTGAGATAAACATATTTCACCATTAACCTCACTTTTCAGTTTTCAATAGAGAGCTCTCTGTAACCTTAAATACAGTAGAAATCTCAAAAAGCTTTTTCCTTATCTTTTTCCCTCTTAGGAGGTAGCTCAGAAAGAGGAGAAATTAGTCCAGTGTCTGGTAAAACTCTTTTCGCTAAATTGGACAATATATGTTTATCTTACACCATTTAATATTAGAAAAAAATGGTGTGACTCACAACAGTCACAAAGGGAATTTTCCAGCGGGAAGTCTTTTTGATCCCGACCGCCTGGGTTTTTCTCTGCTTTTTATTAATTTCCAAATGCTCTTCACCATCTCGATTTCTATCAAGGCTACAGAAACTTACATGTTATTTAGCACATAAAGCTACTCCAAAAAGGAGTTCAGGAGGCACCCCTGAGCAGGTACTGACTTGATAGGGAGTAGAACCTCAAGCAAAACACAGAAAGCACAGATTTTGCTCTCGAGATTCAGTTCGGGTTCCCACTTATCACTAGTGGGCACTCTACAAAGAAACGTAGCACGAGAGCAAGTCCTTTCCAGAGTTCAGGGGTTGTCTGGACACTGGCTGGAGGAAACAAAGATGACCGTGAGAATCTTCTTCATGCAAGCTGAGAGGAAGATGTAGAGAGGGAAAAAAATGCCTACAGAAGCTTGCTTCAAGAGGAAAGGAATAAAAACTGTTTGCAAGTTGCAGAAAAAGAACAGGGAACATTTTTGTGAACAGCTTCCATCAAGGAATGGAGAAAATATAGGGAGAAGCGTAAGGCAAAAAAGGGGAAGATCTGGATAACTGGTCATTGCTTTTTTTAATTCTAAAATTGGGGGGAATACAACATGTTTAACTTTAGCCCAGCTATGTCATTTGTCCCTAAGAACTTCAAGATCATTTTGCAGAAGAACAGAGATTGGTATTTCAGTGGCATTAACTCTTTGCACTTTTCAAGTATGCCACTTACGTGGAATCCATGAATCTATGTTTAATGTAGGCTACACAACTATATGTGCCTTGAGCCTTAGAGTTTTACTTTATTTTTAAAGATGCCTAACGTGGCCACCCTTTGAGAATTAATGTTGTACCCAATAATTTTATCATGTTAAAAGTTATGAGAGAGAACACACAACCATAAAAGAATTCCCTTAATATAAAAGTTGTTCCCTTGGATGTGGGTGTTTGTCAGTCAGTTCTTTATTTTTTAATTTCTACTCTCTCTTTCTAGGTAAGCAAGAGAAATTCATGCATTAGTCATGGAAATAATTACATTAAGTGAGAAACAGTGGGCAGTCTTCATCTAACCTTTTCTCTAGGCAGTTATTCCCTCTCCAGCAAATTAGATCCCTTCCATTATTTTCCTTTTCCAGCAACTGTAGCTCAGGATAAAGGCTTTGGTGCAGAGACTTTAGTTCATGATATCAAAACTCAGTCACTGCAGGCAGAAAACATTTGCAGATTACATATTCACTACTGTTTTACAGGGATCATAAGATTTAGGACAAGCAGGCATGTGGGAGTGGCAAAAACAGGGTAGCTTTTTGAGATGGTGATATAGAAAGGTAGGAAATAATACTTCAAATTTTTTCAGAGAACTCCATAGTGAATAGATTCTGTAGAATCCTTCCAGAATGTTATATGATGCTATACTGTTCGTGCTATTTGGGACAATGGAGGGAAGAAGTGCATCCTTCGCCACCTCTCTCCCATCTTACATGGCCACACCTTAGCTGAACAGCAGTGCCAGGATTTTGGCCTCCCAGAATCTTTAATGGTTCAATAGCAGTGAACACATGCAGTGGCCGTGAAACAGTTGTCAGAAGAATATGGGCCCAATCTGAGGAACATGCTATCTTTTAGAATGCATGACTTGAGTAAGTAGATTTGCGTTTTGGCAAATGGTTCTAATCCCCAAGTAATATCTTAAATGGAACTAAGGTAGCATTTCTAGACCCCAGGCAATTGGTATGCTGCCCAGAATGGGTTCCCTCTTCCCTCAAAATCACATGCCTTGTAATACTTTCTTTCTATTTCATTCTTCATGTGGAAGCTCTTCTGTAACTGTACATGCTGTTGTGCCCATTCGGAAAAATGACTTAATAACTTAATTACTATTAAAAATAATAAGATTAGAGATAGGAGTTAAACAGACATTTGTAACACTGGTTTGTTTTGTCTACCACGAAATTAGACAAATGTAAGAGGTTTGCCATGAAGAGAGGAACAAACCAATTAATCGGCTGTGCTAGCATATGGTTCTGGCTTTGCAATTTAAAGGGTGGAGAACGATGGCCCGTTCCAAACACAACCTTGGCACATGTTTTAATCACTGCAATGCTTCCTTTCTCCTAGGCATGTATGTGTTTTGGAAACTCCCTAGATGCACTTTGCAGATGGTGGTTCTGTCCCCTGGGTGAAGCTCCTGAGTCACAACCTTTTGCACAAAGGTTTCGGATGCTGTACTCATGGGAGTGCAGCATAGAAAGGCAGGCGCACAGAGCTTAGCATTCAGTGTACAGAGCAGATGATAGGGAGGGGAATGAGATGAGAGAGGAGCCTGGAAGAGAAAAGGCCAGGTCACAAGCAAGTCTCTCGGCTGAACACAGTGGATCCATCCTAGGGTGAGTCATATTTCCTAGTCTGCCAAGAACGGAAATTAAGTCTGTCTGTTGCTTTCAACTTCTGGCTTGCTACGTCCTACCCTGACCACCTTAAAACAAGTAACCTGACTTTGAAAGGACATCACCTTCATTTAAATATTAACAATTTTAAAGCAGCAAGAGGCAAGGTGCTTATCCATTATTAACCTGTGGGAGCCTTAAATATTGTTGAGCAGCCCCCACTGTGCCAAAAATAGACAAAGAGAACTACCACTATCAGGAAGGAGATAACCATCTAGAATGACATGCCAGATGAAGAACGACAGCCTCATTTTAAAACAGGGGAGCTGTGACAAACATATTTGAACAAATAGCTAATGTTCCAAAGAACACTGTGCACACCACTCTGTTTCCATAACTAGAATGTTCAAGGCTTGAAGCAATACTCAGATAGGATGCTTTTAACACAGCTTGGTATTCAAACTCAGTCTTTTGAGTTTTAGACCACTTTTTCCTCCTTCTAAAGCTATTCCTGTATCACATTAGCATTTTCTGGGTAAACCCATAAAGTCATGCACACTATTTCTGCAGGTCATGCACACTATTTCTGATGAAACAATGAAAATAAACAAAACAGTCCTGCACACTTTGACCCTGCAAAAAGCAGGAGTTTTAAACAGAGTTAAGTGATAAAAAGATTGCTTAAGCATCACAATATTTTACGCAAACATTGGGGTGTTCACAGCAGAATAATGCAGCCCCACCTGAGTCATATACTAGTAAACAAAACTCACTTTCAAATTACTGTGAAGAGTGCATAAGCACTCTATATACTTTCAAAAGGAAGGATAACAAAACCTGAAAGTCACCACTGAATTGCAGAAACAGTAGAAGCCACTAAATCTCAATAGTGCAAAATAATAGATTTCATTCTTAATGGACAAGCTACAGGATTTTTAACCCTCTTCCTGAAGAACAAAATCCAAGCTTATATTTTAATGTTCCATGAGACTAATTACACCAAAGAAAGCAGCCTGCAACAGAAAAATTTTCTGCCCACCTTCCTCTTACTCAGAAGAAATTTTGCAAAGCTATTATTTTATCCTCCTCCAAATCCTTCTTCCTTAAAATTCATCTCTGTCATAATTAATTCAGAAGAAAGGGCAGGGGAAAGAGCTTACAATGACATGTGACTATCTCCTTTTCCTATTCTAATATGTTAACTTCTCCCATGTTACCTTTCACTCTACCACCATCCCACAGCTACAATTCGAAAAGAAGCCCAGCAATAGCAGGTATGAATGCAATCTGACTGCTTGTACTGAGCTAAGCTCTCAAGTGCTCTCTCAGCTCGCAAGTGCTGAGATAAGGGTAGTGATTACCTGGCCTGAGAGAACAATAAAAACATACTCTTCAGTCAGTCCTAACTGCCAAAAAGAGGGAACGGGAATTTTTCTGGCGATAAAGGGCTTTGGAACACAGGGGCTAGACTGCTAATTTAGGATCTTCTGCCCTAGAAGCTTTGCTAAGAACTTAGGCCTGGCTTTCAGCCTTTGCCCTGGCATGATCTTGACAGCATCACAGAAGTTCTCAATCATAGAGCTTTACCTGTGAGTCATTCTGGGAGTACAAGAATAAAATGTTGCAAAGTATGAAGGAGGTGGCACAGGTGGGACAAAATCTTCAGGATCTGAAATGTGACCTTGTTCTTCAGTTTCTTCTGTGGCAACCCGAGATTCATCCTAATCAAATACAACCTTTGTCAACAAAGCTTCTAACTGTAACAGAAAGTATTCCTAGGTTACACAATTCTATGATTTTATTAGTACTACTGTTTTTATTAGCCAGTGCCTTGCACTCACTTACTGTGCAGGTTCTTCTTGTTGCAAATATCTGTAAGTAGCGCAGAGCAGCTGCTACTAAGCAAACTGTGGTGGTGAGAGCATTCAGGGCACAGAGAGCAAAGAGAACTTTCTGGAGAACATGAAGATTATGAAAATTAAAAGATAAGGCATTTGTAACCATCAAAAAAAGCAAAAGAAAACACAGAAAACAAGGACATGAAAATTAGTTTTTAATTATATATGTGATGCAGTCTTCTGGATAGTTCATCTATAAGTTTGGAATAATTTGTAAAACTTTGTTTTGCCCTATTGCATGTCCTGACACAGAGATATACAGAAGGGCTTAAGTCTGCCTAGCTGTGATTTACAGTCCATCTCTTCACTGAAGAATTATGTCCTTTCTGTGGGAAACCCAGATGCGAGATAAACAACATTAAAGCACTTCTGTACTTGAAAATGACGTTGTCTGGAAGTTGCATTTTAGACATTTGTAATCCAAGAAATATATCAAAAGTATAGCAAATCGAAGAGTATATCAAAAAAGAGATAACAAGGCCTCAAATCATCAGCTAAAATTCGTAACATCTTTATTCATGCAAAGCTATCTGGATTCAACTATAGCTTTGGTTGCACAGAATGCAGAAAGGACAAGGACTGCATAACTTAATTCCATTCATAGATCTAACATTCTTAAAGGACTGTTAAGATCACCAAGGCTGACAGTTTCTCGGATCAGGAATGCACTGATCAAAAATATAATCTAGAGGGGGGGAAAAAAAAAAAACGGTTACAAAATTATAAGGGGCTTATGACCAGTGTAGAAAGCCACAAGGGAAGAGAATTTGCTATAGTGAAAACAACAGTCACTTCAGTGCTGCATTTTTGCACAAGAGTGAACATTATCAAAGCAGTGTTTTTGAGCAGTGCATGCAAGGTACCTTAAGAAGAAGGTGAACAGCACTGCATGACTTCACTGGGTATAGCTTCAGCGCATTCTCTTTTTCTGTGCATTTAGTGGGATGAAATTCTTCACAGCAGAAACAAATCTTGTTTTCACCTGTGTCCACCTTTAAAAAATAACCTGCTTTTTAATTTATTAGCTTTTTTATGAAACACTTTTAGCCGCATAATATAGAGCCGATGCTTTAAATTACATCTCTAACTGCAAAAATAGACCAAATTACAGACTTATAAATAAAACTAAATTTGTACAGTTCAGTATGGCAGTGATTCACACATTATATTGCACATACTTCTTATCTGCAGGTAAATTTTACTGATAAGGTATACAACTTAATTCTAATCAATGTTGCACTGATTACTGAACAACCCTAGTATCCAAACTCTACCGATTCCACAGCAGCCTGAAATTTCTTTCTTTCACTGATATGTAAACCACTGTGTTTTTTGAATATACACATTCTCTTTGTGTGAATCATGGGCATATTTTGCATCTCTAAGGATGGAATGGCACCCACAGCTATGATTTCATCCCACTCAAATCAGTAATGACTATACCTGTATGCCACCAATGTTTGCAATTTTCAAAGTAATCTTGTGATCTTAGTTTTCAAGTAGAAATTCAACATTTCTATATCTACAGATATTGCAGTTTGTTCAGTTGTCAGACTCTCCAGAGTCACAGTGTCAAAGGCTTGCATACACCAGGTTATAGAATAATTTATGATTTTGGGAACACCTTTTGGCTGTGTCCCATCTTTCCAAGCACAGATGACTACTGAAATTCCTCAAGTGTTTAACCATCTCGTCTGGACTAACACTAACAATTTTCATCACTGTTTCAGTATGTTCAGATATTGGGCCAATCTTGACTGCCAAAGTACTTCTAAATCTTGAATGCTTACTACTGTAACTGGCATGTTAAGGAACCATTGCTAGCTTTCCGTGAAGCAAAAAATTAATAAATAGACAAAGATCTTTCCGTTCTTCAAATCCATGCCTAAAACATGATCACCCTTATTACTGAATGATCCTGTATCCTTCAATTTAATTTAAATTATTCTACTGTTTCTGGCTCATGAATAGACATTCTTCCGCTTCATAAGACATCCATATGAGAAAAACCTTTTGTCTTCTGTCCTTCCTTGTGCAGACTGTTCTTTCTGTTCGTTATATGTTTTACGAAAATGATTTGATCTTCCTTAATTTTTTCTCATATTTCTTGCTATAAGGTATGAAAATGAATTTTGCTAACTAGGTGTACCAAAGAACAAAAAGAATCCCATCCATAGGCTACACTGATGGACCATTTTTGCAGTTAGCTCAACAGTACCCGTTCATGCTTTCTTCAGAAGTTTTATAGCATTACCCAACAAAGATAAGACCTTCATATTGGTTCTGTAAATGATTATTTAAAAGTCACGGTACAACACTGGCAAGAGGGGTTCTCTAAAGATATATCTGAGATTCCTTCCTTTATGACCCCATAAAAATGACTAGAGAGCCTCACAGAGGATTACCTGTGTCGTCAGACCCTGAACACAGCGCCCAGCTACCAGTGCAATCAAACAAAACCATTTCTGGGCTAAGTATGCTCTTCTAACACAGAATAAAAGCCTGCACAATACATCTTTGGGAGTCTTTAGTTTTGGGAAGTCAACAGCTTATGAAGGCCCCAATCCAAAAAAGCAAACCTTTACAAAGACAGATAATAAAAGTAATGTTATGGATTTCAGTGAGTCTATTCACAATTTTAAGTGAATCAAGGTCTGAATCAGCAAGTTTTCTTTTTTCCTCCACCATGCTGTAGCTCCATTTCAGTTTCTTGGCACGCATTACTTTTATCTCTGCTTGTAGCACTTTCTGTAATCCTAGCATGGTGAGCTTATGTGGCACATTGTCAAGAAATACATTACAGTTACCATTTCTGCTCACCAAATCACATCTGGGTACACTGGACACAAACTGAGCACCTTGACATCCTAATATAAATCCAGCCAGGTTCAGAAGAACACAGACGACAGACAGCAGAACAAATAGGTTAACCTGAAACAGCAAAACAAAGTTAACAGCAGTGGGAACAGGATGATAAAACAGACTCAAGGAACCTATAACAATGCAAATCATGTCAGGAACAACACTCCCCTTCTGTGTGATTTTCAAAACTCCCTTAACTCAGTAAATAGTTCTTAACACTTTTACTCTCTCTCCCCTCTCCCCCCC